CAAAGAAATTCCCCACTCTGTTGACTTAGTAGATTAAGTTAAGACAATAGTAAAATGAGCAAATACAGATATGTATATTTGCTATGTGTGTGTGTATACATGCACATATGTGTACACACACACACACACACAGAGTAAATATAGTCAGTATAAAACAACAGTAAGCTAGGATAGGAATTCACCAGCAGTGACTTCTTTCTTAGACTGCTTGTGTTCTTGTGTTTTGCCAGTACTTGGGAGTTGATACAGTTGGGAATTGACACTGTTCAGGTGCAGCTTACTTCTTTGACTAATGTCTTTAGCCACTATCTGGTGCTTACTGAATTACAGATTTAGTCTAGAATCCACAGGTGCTGTTACTCTCTGAACAATTTTATGCAAGTTGGAAACCTCAGTTATAAAATTACAGTATTTAAGGCAGTGAAATTTCAAGAGTTTTGGGAAGAAAAAATGTGTTTTACTTTTGCCAATGGTGTTTCTGTTTGTAACTATGGGTTCAATTTAACTTGAATGTTAGAGGACTAACACATGGAAAGGCTCAAGAACTAATCCTAAAGGCCAATTAGTATTAGCAAAAACTTAGATTAGCAAGAAGTATTTTCAAGTTAGATCATTGGTATATTTTTATATTTTTCATTTATATTACTCTAAATGCCTATCATTTATTTTAGAGTGAACAACTTTTCCTCCATTTTTTTGGAAGTAAACTCTGTTTCCAGGCCTAAGAATAAAGAACTTAGAAAAAACAATTTAACTCAGAGCAATGCAGGCAGGTCAGGATTTTTGTAGGTCAGTAAATCCTACACCAGATTGTCTGCCTTTTGACATGGGATTATTTCAGGGAAGGTAGATAGAGAAATCTTTGTTACTTTTCAACAGCAGTTGATAAGGGGCCAGAATGCTTTCCATAGTATGTTGGCTTTGAGGACTCATTTGCTTGGTGATCTGACATTCTCTTCATTTCTTTCAGTTAATTTTTTTTAAATTACCTTTAATCTATTTTTTACAGTCTAGTCATTATCCCCCTCCTGGTCAGCTCTCCCAACAGTTCATCATCCCATTCCTCCCAACCCCCAGTCTCTAAGAGGATGTCCCCACCTCCACCCCCACACTCCCACCTCACCAAGCCTCCCCACTTCCTGGGGCCTCAAGTCTCATGAGGGTTAGATGTGTCTTCTCACTGAGGCCAGACCAAGCAGTGCTCTGCTGTATATATATATATTGGAGGCCTTGGGCCCACTCCTATATGCTGCCTAGTTGGTGGGTCAGTGTCTGAGAAATCTCAGAGGGTAAGATTGGTTGAGACTGCTAGTCTTCCAATGGGGTTACCCTCCTCAACTTCTTCAGCCTTTCCCTAATTTAACTGCAGGGTCCTCAGTTAAATCTTGAGATAGAGCAGCTATGGGAATTCTCTCTAGTCATTCTGGCATCTTACCTGACACTATGGACACTGAAATCCTAATCTCTCACTTTAATATTTTCCTGAATCATTCATAAATGTCTGAGGCTGAGCCTAATCACTATTCTTTATTCTAACAGCTTTCTGTGATTCAGCCTTTAAAACAAAAACATTAACACTACATCTTCCAAATTCAGGAAGAAAAAAATCCTGTGTTCAATGTACAGTCAATTATAGTAAAGCATAAGTAGCATATGAAAATAATACATGCTTTAAGATAGTCATTTGTGAATACATTTGCTCAACAAATGTTTTTACACTGTATATCAAAACATATACCGTTAGTTTGGGCCATCTGCTAGAACAGAGGAATTGTTTTGCTGTATAGCGCTATATGTGAATTGCCATATTGTAATGTGCATCATACATGTGTTATGAAGATCCTAGCATGCTTTTTCTTCCCAAGGTGTAACCAATGGCCCAATTAAATAGAACTCCTGTGCTCTGTAGAACAAAGGATCGTTAGCTTGGTATTTCAAAGCTCTAAGTTTGAAACAAGCTAACACATCCAGTTTAATGTCTCTCTGTTCTCCTTTACTGTACAGTTTATCATGCTGTCAGGTCAAATGGAATACTACTTTTACCTTCAAGGGCCCTCAAGTCTCGGCAGGTCAGTCTTGAGGACAGATGGCACATCTTGCTTCCCTTAATGACCTCACTCACTATAGCTTCATCCACAGTCATAATATTTTTCAATACTGAACATTTAATTAACTGTACCTTATATGTACATTGGATTTTTACTCAGGCTCTTCTTGAAATATCCTACCAAGTCCAATATGGACAGTGTCTCCAGGAACCTTCAATGAACTTCCCAGTGTTCTCAGAGTTAATTAAGCATGTGAAATAAGAAATGTTCATTTAGAAGTTTTTCTGTGTGTGTTTTAATCATTCATGTATGTATGTATGTATGTATGTATGTATGTATGTATGTATATACACTTTGCCCCACTTTTATTAGAAACTTTTATCAGTCTCTGCTTTCCTGTATATTCTTTTAGTCCTCATCTGTTAAAGCAGATTATGTTATCCATATCATGGACAGAAAACAAGATACAGTGTATATAAAGAACAATCAACATTTAGTAAGCAAACAAAATAGTGTCTGATGCACAACACTATTTCTCATCCAGATCTCCAAACTGAGCTCAATGATGAAATGATAGAATTTAGTTAAATTTCTTTTTAAATCTACCAACAGTGCCTGCCTGCTTCCTTTGTTCTCTCTTCTCCTCCCCTTCCCACTTCCTACCCCCACCCGTCCTTCATTTCCAAGTACCACAGACCAAAACTGAGTCCTCACTCTTGCTAGGCAAGCCCTCTGCCACTAAGCTACTCCTTCCTTTGACTTATTAGATGTTCAAGTATATATATGTTGGACATTCTTGATAATATTTCTGATACCTTTAACCATCAAATTTGACTAGCAAAACTTGTGAAAAATAAAATAGATGATAATCTCATATATTTGCATTTATTCTTGGCAGTACTAGGTATGCATATCATTCTCTAGGCATTTATGTAGAGATTCTTAACATGCTGTAACTTACCCTGAAGAGGTTCCTCAAGATGTAATTTGTTCTGGCTGTTGCTTCAAGCATCCTTTCAGCCAACAGAATTTAAAATATTTTAGGAAAACCATAAGTTGCTTAAAAATAAAAATCTAGATTTACATTATTTAAATTCATTCAGATTCTGATTTTTTTACTGAATTGAATCATGTTATGAAAATAGATATATATTTGGATCTGTTACTGTGGACTCTTTTTACTTTGAAGAATGTTTTAAACATATAGAGTTCCATACATTTAGAATTTGAAAGAACCTAGAGAGCAAAGCCAAGAATTTTGGATTTTGCTTAAAATTTGAGTGATATGATAAGTGAAATTAAAAGCTCTTACATTTTGAAAGAGGTTTATCAGTTTTTGAACTTACTAGATATATCTCTTCATAGTGCTTCAGTAGCTAGTAATGTTGAAGATATAGAGCAGCCTTGTTGAAAGTTTCCCTGTATGCTATGATAATTTTCTATTTTCAAAATTAGAACAACAAATTGAATCAAGGGGAAGACTACAAACATTGTAGTTTTGATTTTATGTGGCTGGATACGCATGTCTGTACAGAAGTGTGTTAATCTATGTTTTGTTTGACTTAATGCTTTTCAGTAACAAAATGTTTCCTAACCCACTTCTCCCCTAAGACTAGAAAGTTAGAATGAGCCAACAGCCTTCACAGATTTTAAGAAACATGAAGACCAGCTGCCTTTGGCATCACTTCACTTTCTTGCTGAACACTGCTCCAGTAGCTTCTGTGTGTTAGGGTTATGCCAGATGCTGAGGGCTATGATAAGGTGCAGCTTAGGTACACCCAGAGCTCATAGGTCTGAGCAGTACTCTAGCATCGTGATCCTTAGCTATACATTGTCTTTAGACATGTTAAACATTTTGAGATAAAACAGGCTATATATTTCCTGTTTGATCAAATCAAGTGCTTTATCTCTATTTGCTGACAACAGCAAGAAGTCTTCAAGTAAGTAGACTAATTTTGATCTAGTATTTCCCTAGCTTATTTGATGTTGGAAATCTTTTGAGACACATATAAATGCCTCTGGTGATCATTCATCAGCATTTAGTTTGGAGTCTATCTTCAACAGTTAGAGTTCCATAAGGTCAATGGAAAAGGGGAGTCCAGGAAGTCAGCTGAGATCATTACATGTTGGACAGGACCTGAACAATGAGAATGAACAGGACAGGAAGGGGAGGTTAGGCAAGGCAGGAAAGACAGAAGCAAGGATGGGTTGAAGAATACTATGTACATGAAGAACTGTGCAATAGCTCAGTATCATGCCACAAAGGTAAGAAATCATCTCAGGAAAATTCAGTGTATTTAGATGTATAAACGACTTTGAACAACATGACTGATTTATAAAATAGATGGTAACATCAATGTTGCCTCAATGTTTTATATATGTATGTATATGTATGTATGTATGTATATATATGTAAGTATGTATATATGTATATATTATATATTTCTAAATATGATATAATTTTCATTTAACTCTTTACTTTGTATAATATAAACATAGTATTTAAAGATTAATATTCTGCTCTGATAGATATGCCATTATTCATATAACTATAGAAAGTCTTCAGCTTTTCCAATCACATTTTTACAGAGTCTCTGTTTTACTGTAAATTATTCATTGTGTATATCTTCAGAACTGGGATTATTAATAAATAAGAAAGTAGGGATATATTTACCATTTGACACATGCTAGTACATTAGCTTTTTAAACAGTATAGAACTTTGTATTTTTCATTCAGAGTATATTAGAGGATTTATTAAGTGATTTCTGAGAGAAATCACATAAAAATGACAACAATGGTAATGTGTATTTTGTGTGTTCAGTAGTTTATGAGTATACTGATTTTCTCATAGTTTTAATGGTAAGCTGTACCCATTAAAATATTTCTGCTTAATACTTTATACTTAACAACATAAAGATTTTTCTTAATATGAAACTTTTTAATTTTTTGAGGTATCCATCACGAATTGAAAAAATTGATTATGAAGAAGGGAAGATGCTAGTCCATTTTGAGCGCTGGAGTCACCGTTACGATGAATGGATTTACTGGGACAGCAACAGGTTGCGACCCCTTGAAAGACCTGCACTAAGAAAAGAAGGGCTAAAGGATGAGGAAGAGCTCTTTGTAAGTAGGAAGCCTTCCCAGTTGTTCCTTTCATAGGCAGGCATTTTAAAAGAATCTTGTCAAATTTAATAGCTTTTTTTGTTAATGAAATGTTTATTATATATGGAATTGATCTTAAAAGTTGTTTGAATAGGATTTTAAAGCTGGAGAAGAAGTTCTGGCTCGTTGGACAGACTGTCGCTATTACCCTGCCAAGATTGAAGCAATTAACAAAGAAGGTATGCATTTGACATGACCTGAGACTTAAATAGGACTGAGATTTAAATTTCAGTTAAGGTATATAATTGTCTCATATAACTTTTTTCTTGTTTTATACTGTTCTGTGTGGATTTCCTGCTAGTACTCTTTACAGGAATGTTTGTTAAATATTGCATAGTGACATGGCTCATGACTTCTCAGCCTGAATCAAAATAACCAGGTGTTAGTAAGATTTCCCATGAGCCTGGGAAATCTTTCAGACAGATAATAAACTTGATCATCACTTAACTGCTTTTTAAAAAAGAAGCAAATGCTGTGCACACGTAGTGACAGGTTCTTTGCAAGGATATTTGATCTACTCAGGAGGTACTTCCTTAAAGTTGTGAAAGACACATAAGCTAGTGGAAGAAGAGCCAGAAGGGCTTTGTTTGCGATGGAATAGTAGGGACATGGTTGAACAGAAGCAAAGATCAGTACATGAGAGACTTTAGAATCTTGCTAAAGGATTTGAACTTTGTTAGTGATGAAAGCAATGAAAAAAGTTTAAACTTTAGGTTAAAAATTAAAAATAAGCTTGAAAGAAATAGAAGGTAAGATAGAAGCAACAAACATTTAAAAGGATGTGTGTGTAAGGAATTCAATATGAAAAATAAATTACAGTAGTCTAACTGAGAACTCTTTTACAAGGATTTCAGTCCCTATTATGGTTGCAATGATTTGGAGCTGCAGATGAGACTGTGATGCCATTTCTAGGTTACCCAGTCACTGCAGGAAGAGGTGGGAGACTGCACTATGTCTGTGGAGCCGTATGTCATGTCAAATTTGCTTAAGTCTTATACCTAAGCATCCTCAATGTCCAGTCCAGAGCCTAGCACAGAGTAGGTTAGTCAGTAGTGGTATTGGCAGAAAGACCTAATGAATCTGTTCTCTTGTGTGCTAAGATCCATCCAGAACCTAGCAAAGTAAAGGTACACAATGCTCTGTAATTAAGATCACTTGTGTTGAGTATGGAGCACTTTAGGACTTGCCATAATTCCTAAGCATTGGCTTATGCAGTAGTGTACATATACACATATGCACTATATTCAAACCACTGTTACTGTTTATCCTATTCTATTTATCCACAGATTTTAAAACAAAATTAAGTTTATATTAGTAGAAATGGGATGCTACTGCTTCTGTGGTTACTGCCATTTCTAGAGTAGTTCTACAGAGTCTTTAGGAAATACTGATACATATTTTTTAACTCTTCTCTAGAAGTATTAATTTTGGTTTCTGTATGTCCCATGTGGTAGGTAAGCCTGCCTCTTTCATTCAAGGGGAAAAAAATGGGAATTGGGGAAACCCGCAGTTCATTTTAAAAGCAAAATGGACTAACTAATGTGGACTTTGAGATATTTGTGATACAGCTTATACAAGTGAAGAGAAAGCAGTACAAATCTATGACTATAAACATAAATATTTAGAAGGCAGTTTAACAGCATGATCTTTTACCAAAATAATAGGTTCCCCTTTGAACCTATGATTTTCCTAGGCATGAGTCTTTACTATGATAGCCATACCAGGCCTGAACCTGTGGAAAAGCCTCAAGTCTAATCTAGAGATCAACATGGGGGCATGCTGTCTTGCCACTATTGCACTAATGAACACATTTCGTTTAGTAGGTTAGTATTGTAGCTTGTAGGGTAAGTTGATTGATTGCTTTTCTCCCTCAGCATCCTGCAACCCTTCTCCCACACACAACAGTAATTAGACTGTGGGTTATTTAAAAAAAAAAGTTAGGAGAAAGGTTATGGGTAGAGTTTGAAGGAAAAATTAGTGGGGAAATGGATGTGATTAAGATACATTGTATCTATGTATAAAATTTTCAAAGAATAAAATGAAGAAGGAAGGGCAAGAAATGTGGACTAGTGTAGCTAGAGAAGTTTTCAGCTTGAGGATGGTCATTGGAGAAGTGGTTAGAGATAGATACAGTCAAGAGACACAGGGAAGCATACAAATAGAAGAAATAGCATGAGCAAGGGCTGGAGGAACAAAGGTCCTGCCAGTGGCTTAGAAACAACATGGGCTGTCCAGGAGTGCCATGTGGAGGAAAGAATTGGAGAAACAGTTGCAGGAATGATGGTAGTACGAGGTATGTATACAATTTGGGATTATTAAGTTTCTTCCATTGTCCTTACATCCCTGCTTGTTCACTTGATCATTTGTTTCTTAAGTTCTAGCTTAGGTTTAGAACTTTGAAGTATTGAATTATGCTAATCATATGAAAATGTGATTTTTCAGGTTACAAAAAAGAAAAAATATATATACATATGCATGCCATTGGCTTTGAAGTCATGCATATGATAATAATATGTTTCTTGTTTATACTTCTTTTGTAAAACCCTGGTATCTACTTAAAGTGTTTTATTTTTCTATAAGTATAGAATCAATATGATTTTTCTAGTAACACTGTTTCATACTAACTTGCTAGCATGAGATCTGACACAGAAGGTGAATGTACTTCAGCATCTATAAGCAGACAGATACAGGAAGAGAAGGGCACAGCTGAGTGCACAGCATGGTAGAGATGGCTTTGCAGCCGTTAAGCTGAGTGTCACACAGTTGCTATCCTCAGCTCCTCCAGTTTGTCTTGTTGATATGCAAACAACTTTCATCTTGTCGCTTTCTAAGTTACTTTCTAGCTTATACTTGACATGTGAGAGGATTTTTGCCACTTTAGTACTAATGTAAATATCACTGAGAAAATGATCTGTATTACATATCATATCTTTCTCTCTGTTACCTACTTTTAAAGTAACTTTTCAAGAGAGCTAGTGATTGTTCCTGTAGAAATACTGTTTCTGTAAATAATGGTTTTTTTCCTGAGATAATTCTAATAATATTGCTTCCTTCTTTTCCTCCTTGTCCTTCTCTTCTTCCTCCTCCTCTTCTTCCTCTTCTTCCTCCTCTTCTTCCTTCTCCTCCTCTTATTCTTCTTCCTCTTCCTCCTCCTCCTTCTCTTCTCTCTCTGGGCATGCATGCCCTTTCTCTCTTTCTCTTCCCCCTCTACCTCCTCTCTCTCCCCATGGTGACTTGCTGACCAAGGTCCTAGGGATAAGTGAACTGGCCCGAGAGCAGCTTCCCAATAAACCTGCATTTAATACAATCTAAAAAAAAAAATCTAATAATATTTATATCTTTTCACAATAAATTTCAAAATTCTTCAGTAAAAATCAAAGTTACATACAGTTAAGTTATCAGGACTTAATTTATGCATATTTTAAAGGAAAAACTAGTTCAAAATTTTTTAAACATGGAGAAAGTATCTCTAATAACTCAGTAGAGTTCATTCAGGAGACTGTGCCTGTGTTAGTGCAATCACAAAGCATCTTTTTATATTATACTACTATTGTTAAATTCCAAATACTGCTATAATGTTGCATACTTTCTAATCTGATTGCTATTTCAGGAACATTCACAGTTCAGTTTTATGATGGCGTAATCCGTTGTTTAAAAAGAATGCACATTAAAGCCATGCCTGAGGATGCTAAGGGGCAGGTAAGAGTGTTCAGTATTCCTGGCTACTGAAGGGATGTCTTCATGAATGGTATTTGATCATCATACATATTTATGTATTTTTTAAATGAACTAATTGTAGGGTTATGTGCTGAGAGCCCCAAATAGCAGCAAGAAAGAGAAGCATAGTATGTAAAATAAATTATACACTTGATTTTTGCTTCTTTGGTTTTAGACCTGCTAAAGTTATAGGTCACTAGTTTCTGTTCCAGGTGAAATCCCAGCATCCACTAAGCTGGTGTTGTCCTATCGACCCAGCTGGATCGTGTAACCAGTCTATGGGAAGTGAGGTAAGTGCCTTTTTGCTTTTAAATTTTTTGTTTGTTTTATCTGGTATAGCATCTTATTTAGAAAGCTAATTTTTAATATGAAATTTTATTTAAGTTTCTTATCTTCTTCTTTCCTTCTACAAATCATAGTTATTCACCTTCCTTAAAAGGCGCTTACCTGACACTCTGTAGGCTGTTTCAGGTAGGGCTCTCTGAGTAGTATAATGGAAGCAGTGCATTATATGCTTTGCTACTGTCAAAGCAGGAATGAATGATGAACATTTGAAAGAGAGTCTGGGTTGGAGCCGTGTTCCCTTTGCTGAATATAGTTCCTCAAACATTGGAAAGAAAGGTGTCACTAGAAACGAAAAGTATTTTCTTTTATGTTCTGCTGTTATTTGGGATTTTCAGCACCTGGACCTACAATTAATTAAGAACATGAAAATAATCAATGAAATGTCTAATGTGAAAATATATTCCCTATTTGTTCCATACCATGTAGCTAAAAATTTTATCCTGAAGTGTTAAAAATCACATGGTAAATTTCTAGTAGGCATGAGCATTTTATGGTCTGCAAATGTTTAATTTCACATTTTAAATACTTATTTTTGAGTATTCTGGAAAATGTGGTTGCTTCTGAAATGATCAGTTATATAAATGTAAATGCAATTTAAAGTAAAAATGCTTTCAATCAATAAATCACTTTGTCTCCTCCTATGCACTTATTTATATTAATGAAATATTTTTAATCATCCAGTGGTCTTTTTAGCGTAGACTACTACATAACTTTAAATACATTTCTTCTTTTGCTTTAATACTCTGTAGCTGTAGTTATTTAGAGGTCATGAAATGACACTCTTATTTGTCATTGAATTTACAAATAGAGACAGTGTGCTTTGTGATTGAATAACAGGCTATAGAAATTAGATTTGCTGGATATCGTATTTGGAAATATCTAGTCCAATCACAATGTATATTAACATTAAGATCAGTACCAAAATACAAAACTCCTTAAAGAGTACTTGACTGGCAACATACTTCCTTTTAATATTTTATTTTCCTTTATAATTCTTAATTATATACAGATTTATAATATTTACTAAGTATTTTATAAGCTATTTTATTAGGTTTTTTTTTTCCACAACTATACATCAGGCAAGGCTGAGTTTTTTAGAGTTGGAGTACTTTGAGAATCCTTTTATGAAAATATAAAGAAAAGCATCTTATACTTACTTAGCAAGGAATAATACACTGAATAAGTTTACAGTGGAAATGTTCTTCTCTAAGCCCTGTTTAGCACCCATGTAAGATGAGACATTAATAGTAGTTTTATGTAAGTGAACTTCCAGATTTGCTTTCTAAAGTTCAAATAAAAGTCCTAAGGCTATTGTTTTTGACTTTGGGACAGTTGGTTGATGCTATCCCACCTCTGATTGTATTTTGAAGATAGCTTGACCCTTTCGAGAGATTTTAGAAATGCTTCTGTTGAAGTGTAAGCTGTAGGCCTTCTTGAACTGTGTTTGCAGACACAGTTCTTCACTGGGAGTATAGTATGGTAGACGTAGTGACTATCCGATCTAAGATGCCCTGTCCTTATCCCTGTCTTGTATATAATATTGAATGGAATGGTAGTGTTGATCTGTAGTTACAAAGCTGACATTTCCCAGGATAAAGACCATTCTCACACTTAGTAAAGTATCTTACTACTTGTTTGTTCTCCCTGATGCCCCACCCTTAAGCAGCAGTAATTGCAGGGTGAGAGACTGAGGCATATTTAAATTTGAAGTCTGTAAACACAGCCTCACACCTTCTTCATTCTTTTGGAAAGTGTGCTAATGTAAAGTGTGTATTGAAATCCACTGAAGATGGGTATATAAATGGTTATAAATCCCTTGAAATTCACCTTCCTGATATTTTGCCTCTGTTGGTTTATTGGTGTTCACAGAGCTTTTCCTATATGCATGGTTGATATTTTTAACCTTACAGTTGAGAAGGTCAGAGCATAGTGAATTGAATGACTGATGTTTCATTCAGCTATTCTCTACAAGCGACTTCTGACTCAGACCTTCTGATTTCAAAACTGTGTTCATTGTTAATGCTCTGTTCTATTGGCTACAGAGCATTTTGAGTATGTCATTGATTCTGATTCTTGGAAAAGCATCCTCAGTTCTTTTTTACAATGAAGCTTTTCTGTGTAAAAGTTCAGGGGAAGAACACTAGAGGTAATTAATCATATGGCTATAATGTTTGCCATGATTAACCAATTTATGGTTTAAAAGCATTTTTAAGTATTGAAGGGCCGAGCGGTGGTGGCACACGCCTTTAATCCCAGCACTTGGGAGGCAGAGGCAGGTGGATTTCTGTGTTCGAGGCCAGCCTGGTCTACAGAGTGAGTTCCAGGACAGCCAGGGCTACACAGAGAAACCCTGTCTCGAAAAACCAAAAAAAAAAAAAAGTATTGAAGGTAGAGAGAAACTTGAGATGGAATTTACCCTTAACCATGTCTAACATGGCTCTGGCTACTGAAACAAACAAACAAGCAAACAAACAAACAAACAAAACAGCTGCAGTGTGGACCCTACATCCATGTTGCATGATGGTATGGTTATGTTTACTTCTCTTCATCTGCTTTATTAACCTATCCTTGGTTTTCTTTTGTTGAGATTCTCTCCTCACTACTTCATTGTGAGTCTTTAAGCTCAACCTTTGGCTGTGGCTATCCCCAGCTAATTCTTCTTCACCTAAATCTTCAACAAGTATCCTTTCCAGTACACACTGGCTTCTTTGCCTTCATTTAGTGTCTTTCATCTCATTTGGAAGACTTGTTTCCCCGTTTTTAGCTGTCCATTTTTCAAACCAGTTCTCTTCATTTTTACATTTAGAGACCAATTCCTATACCCTTATTTGTGAAGTCTCCCACTAGTTTTTCTTTTTGGTCAGATTAAATCTCTTCTGCTATCTTATGGTATTTTATATGTCCAATCACAACATCTTTTCTTTTCTTTTGAAGATGGTTTCATGTAGCCCAGGCTGTTCTTGAACTTCCTATGTAGCCGAGGATAACATTGAACTTCTAATCTTCCTTGCTTATACCTTCCCATCACTCTATCTTATGGCTAATTTTATATCTTTATAAATTCCATTAGTAGCCTGTTTTATTAGCTTTTGTGTTTTAATGTTAGACTGATACCCTGCTAGTCTTGTGAGACATTCAATAGAAAATGCACAAAAAAAATGTTAGGTAAATCACATGTTATTTGAAGATTATTTCAGTGATAGAGAGGAGAGATAACTATAGGTACACTTGTTTGCAATGGCCTGTTTATCCTCACAGTGTATTTTCAAGGGTGAATAGTTAGCACCTATATTTTTGGTTTAAATTTGCTAACAGTGCTTATGTTCATTTGTGCAATGTACTAATTCATTTTATGTTATAAAATTATATTCAGTAGAATGAGAACTGTGCAAGCTGGATAAACTTTATTATCCATTTAGACAGTGCTTTAGGAGCATAAGAGAAAGATTAATTCTGTAAAAACATTGAGTATTTATTTAAAACATTTTTTTTACTAAAAGTCTATATAGAACCATTTGATGCTTCTTTACAGTGTTTTGTACTTTCACAATAAAGAATTTTGAGCTAAAAATAACAAGATTTATTTAGGGTGGGGAAGATGCCTCAGCAGATAAAGGCACTTGCTCCTAAATCTAATGACCTAGTGTGAGCTGAGTTTGATCCCAGGAACCCACATGGTGGAAGGACTTCTACAATTTTTTTCCTCAAGCATGCCATTGCATGTGCACTCCCCTACCCTTACCCCATATCAAATAAATGTTCAAAAAAGAGTATTTTAGCAACTAACAAAATTTCTTTACTAGTATTATAAAGGGTATGTTAAATTCACCCTAAAGTTTAAATGTTTAAAAAGTAAAATCATAGTTTGATTTCTAAGAAATTCATGAATCAAATAGTTTGTGCATCTTAAAAAGAAACAGTAGTTTGTTCAGTAGTAAAACATTTTTCTCAATACTTATATAGTGTAATTCTCTTCTGTGTGGTCCACTGTATTATGAGAAAGAAAAGTAATACTACTTTTAACTCTGAAATGTTGAAGCATGTCACAGAGCATTCCAAATTTTCTACAGGCTTTTAAAGTTGTTTTTGATTAATTATATAAAAACCTATCCAAGGAAGGCCTGTTTACCATTGAATATTTTTTCATTTTCAGTTCAGTTAATTAGTTTATTAATCTAAAATCTCAGCCATGCTGATAATCTGCCACATAAATATAGTTAGCTTAATTTGTACATGTATGTATGTTTGAGTAGCTGTCAAGATGCAATATTTTTTTAATGTATTAGTGAAGCAAAGTTGAATTTTTAATACTTTATGTTTTATGTTTTTCCTTTGGAGGACTGGATTGCTTTAGTCAAAGCAGCTGCTGCAGCTGCAGCGAAGAATAAAACAGGGACTAAACCTCGAACCAGTGCTAACAGCAATAAAGAGAAAGAGAGAGATGGGGGAAAATGGTTCAAAGTACCTTCAAAGAAGGCAGAGACCGCCACATGCATAGTCACAGCAGAGACTGAGAAGAAGGAAGAGCTACCCACATCTAGTGAACCATTTGGTACAAAATACATTCTTTTTTTCCTTTCTCATGACACAGGTAAACTGAGGTAGCAAATCAGCCAAAATCTGTAATTTTGAACTTACAATTAAACTATTTGCACCTAGCATAATAGGGTGACTATTATTTTTATAATCAGAATATATATAACTCTGAAGATTAGCTCCTTTCAGTATCCTTAGTATAAATCATTTGATATTAGTAGGTTTTTGATTGAGATTTTTGGTTTTGGTTTGTAAGGAATTGTGGTGTTTCAGTGTGCTATAGAAGAAGACGACGGGAGTTATTCTCTTGAAGGTTCACTTCAAGAATGACTACGTAGTATGCTTTTATTTCTGTTGTATGAATCCCGAGGGATTTGTGTTTGTTTAAGTCGTAATCAAGCACTAGATTTTAAACAATATACATATAAATGCTTTTACTAACTTGTTATCTATTAATTATATGTCTTACTTTTGGATTCCAGACAAACTCTCATATATGTGTTCTGTTAAAAGTAGGACTTCACATAGACAGCGTTCCAAAGATCGTCTTTCCACAGCCAGAGAGCACATTAACAAACAAGAGGAAAAATAATCAAGGCAACTCATTTCAGGCAAAGAGAGCTCGACTAAACAAGATTACTGGTAAACTACAATGATTTTTTTGGCGGTGGGGAGTAAGGGATGCTAGAGGCTTCATGTTAGAGTAGTTTCTTTTTAATAAAGGAAAATGGATCTTTTGGCTCAGTGTAATAAGTTGATTACTTTCTGGTTCTTCAACGTAAACATCTCTTGACATTGTCTTCTCTTTCTATTATAAAATGTGAAAAATAGCACATATTTTCTACCTACCTCACAGGGATGTTGTGAGGATCAATAAGCTCAAATGTTACAAGAATGTAGTCTTAAAATCATTTCCATGGTTGGAATATTTTCTGTCAGAAATGGGGTTATCTGCATTTACCAACTTGTGGTGGCCTTATTTCTTGGCTTTAAATATTTTTACATTTAAACAATTTCACAGATGTCGAAGCTTACTTAAGAATGGAGCCATTTGTGGTAAAAATATGATTATCTGACTAAATTAAGTTTCTGACTCACTTGTTAATTCCTCCTTTTTTTCTTGAGGTTGATCTCTAGAGTACCGTCTTTTCTTATAAGGTAGTATGTAGCAGTATAGGGCCGAGGAAATTACAGACAATCCTAGCCAGGCTAGTGCTCAAAGAAGAGCTAATTGAAATATATATAATGCCAGTCATGCTACACATGACACGTGTAGGCTGCCAGCCTAATATGTTTCTAGTATTTAAATGAAATTATGATTGTAATTCATTTCAAAGTATACTTTAAAGGAATACTTAACCATTTTTTATGATTTGGACACCAGATTTTTCAGAGCAAACTATTTTCAAGGGCCTTTGATCTAATAAAACTGAATAAAACTTCCTTGCCATTCATTTAATTACTTTGAAGGAGATTAGCTTCTCTATTAGGTCCAGGAAAAAAATACTAAGTATGTGTTGTGTCTTCTTTCAAGAGGAGACTTACTGAAGGGTGGCTAGAGCAGAGGGCTCTTGTGAGCTTCTCTGTGACAGAGTTATGATTTCTTTCTGCACTGAGGGGAATCAGGCTTGTTCCATTTGTTTGTAATAACTTTTCTATAGAAATTGTTAGTCTTAGAGAAATTCAGACTCTTCTCTAAATTGATTGTTCTGCTGTCAACCTGAGTCTTCAGTTATGGCTTAAAATACAGAACTCAGTATGCTGCTTGCAGGGCAGAATGGAAAGCTGCTTCTCACTCCTGTGATAAAAGGATTGAAACTGCACTGTTGGAGAATTCAAGACCAAGGAAGATGGAAATGCCACTGACAGGATACAGCTAATTGCCAACTTCCCAGCATGATGGGTTTCCTTCTTTAGCCACATAACCTGCTTTTAGTTTTAGCCAGTATGCTTTCACATATGCCTGCTTCTAAATTCCTCAATGGAGGATGGGAAGGCTAAGCTCAACATTTAAAGAAATAACAAAATTAAAAGAGAAGCCAGCTGAGTCCACCTGATGCATTATCTTTGCATGGCCTTGGAGAGGCAGTAGTAAGGTTCAAAGAACCGTTTACCTTGTTCCTCAAATTGTAATCCAGATTGCTTAGTAACACTTCAGGTCCTCTGTAAAGGGACTTTCTCTTCAGTTTTCTTTAGGAATGTCAAATGTAATGGTTGGCAACAGAATAACACAAAATCTTACCCATATGAACCCATTAAGGTCTCCCCCCCCACTTTATTTACTCGGAAGATTTAAATGTATTACAATCGTTTTAGCAGTTCATCTCTGCTTTTATTTTTTATTTCATATCACAAGTATGCCATGCAGAAGGACAGTAGATACAGGATTGTCTTCAATCCTAACCTCTGGTGTGCTTGTATACTCTGTATTTAACTTGTGGTCTGTGAAGAGAAATGAGAACTAGTGTAAAATGGCAGATTCATGTTGAAATCTTGCTGTATTTTAAACTTACCAAGTTTTGCTTGTGTCTTTTTGTCTTTTACTAGAGAGGAGTGGGCAATATTTGTAGCAGTTTGTTCTTGCTTACTTTCTTGTTTTCCACTCTGTTTTTAAATGGAGTGTATCCAAAGATTCATGAACCAATCGTTGGATAAGTTTAACTCTGTGATAATACACTGTTTCCTCTCCTTCCCTTCATATGTATCTTATGGTGATTCTAATCTGACTGCAGTAGAAAGAATGATAAAGTGATGATGTTTTCAAAGTTTGCAACTAGAAAGAAGTGAAATTGTATTCTCTATTGGTTATTGTTTTTGAATATGTAATATGCGTTAGTGATAGTTCTATCATATGGTATACATAACATTCATTTTAAGGTAGACAGTTTTGCAGTGAAATCCAGAATCCATATCTTTAGAAACAAGTTGCAAATAAATTGTTAGTGGACTTGAAAATAGTAACTGTACACATCAAAAAAGAATAAAGAATAGCACTTAATGCGTGATGTACTCTAATTGTTATGGACATTGCTTGAAGTTAGAAAGGTTTGTGCGATATCAAGGATTTTTGAAAAATTTGAAAAAAAAAATCCTGATATTTAAATTTACTCATCAGACATAAATTTGACCAAGATTTCAACTTCTTTGTTCCTCGAGCACTCCCTTTTGTATTTCAGGGCGTGCTGGCCTCCTGCTTCTCAGTGAAGCAGATCATTATGAAGTGATTTTGTTTGGTGGTCAGATTCATGATGATTTGATGTTCACTTTCTACTCACTGTTTAATGTCCTGATGCTGTATCCTGCATTCTTTAAGACAGTCTCCTGGGGCAGAGCCTGTTTCTAATGTACTGATAATTACTATCTGAAATGATTAAAGTTAACTTATGTCAGTTTCTCTTGAATTTTCATTTCCACTGGATATTAAATTTTTCTTAGAATGTTGGCAGGGAAAGATAATTGCAATTGGACTGTCCCTCCAGGCACACATAGAACCTGCTCTCCAAGTGCCTGTTTTATCATGTGTCCACTTTTGTTTATGCCTAGTAATTTTTTAAAAAGTTGATATTCTGCTTAAGCATACAAAATTTTACTGTGTATATTTGGAGCTTTTTAATGTTCTAGGTACCAAGTAGTATTTAAAAATTAGTTTGTCTTAAGTTCCTCATTACTGTCTGGCCAAATTAAAGGGTTTCCTTTTTCTTTACAACAATTATATAGAAATAGCTTTTAATCAATTTGGTCTATACTATTGTAATAAGTCATGGATGGATTGTTTTGTTTCTTTTACAACTTGTACCATATGATAAAATTTGAGCTTATAATTCATCCCATCTATTGATGAATGTAAAAAACATTCTATCACTTCTAGGAAAGAAAACAGCAAGGCATAATTGTTAATATATTGAATGGCAAATATTTGTTATATTGAATAGCTTTAAGAAATAGAACTTCTGCTCATTCCCTGACATAAAAAGACTTTGATTCTGTATCTTTAATAAAAACTTAGATAGCTCATTGATTCTCAAGAATGTTATCTGGAAAAGAAACAAAAACAGTGATATGTTGTTTTAAATGTTAAAGAAATATTTTATACATCTTTTGTGTTTATATAAAATATATTTACAATGTAATTAGGATTGAATTTGTGGGTTAAAATTTTATAAAATGATCTACATGCCTTTATTTCTCATTTAAATCTACACTTTATGTGATGTACGACATGAAGGAACTATACAGACTGTGGTCTCAAACTAAGTGGAGTACCAGTCACTGATATATCAGAATCATTGCTTTCTGCTGCACCTCTTTGTTTCAGACTAGGTGTAGACATTCAGCTTTTCAGTAAAGCCAGGGAGCCTTCTGCGTAATGATTACATGACATTTATCTCTTTTACTACTTTAAGGAGCTCACATGAATATGTGTGTTCCCATCTTGGTTACTTAACACCTCTAGGGTAGTTATATGAGGATGTCCAGCCATTTTGCTCTGTGAATAGCAGTTTGTCCTTTAGTATTTCAGGGAACCTTTTCTCTCCTATGAACTAATGTTAACAGTTTCAGTAATAAAGGTGTTAAAAATTTCTATAGCAAGTTTACAGTTACTATCACTTGTTATATATGTTTCCTTTTATGAACAAAGTAGTCATAAAATTGAACATTTGAAGGCCTGATAAACTTTGTCTCATAAAAGGTACTGACAGAATGAGCAAAGAATTGTATCCAAGGAAATGCTTTTATTAATGAAGGCAGATGATACTACATAAGAGCATAGATGCACAAAGCTGAGAGTAACGAGTATAAGTGAAATTTAAAATTAGAAATGCTTTTTGAAAATTAATGTAGCAAAGTCATGTGCTACTCTACAAGTATTAGCAATATAAAACATCTTAATCTAGACTTTAAGCCAGAAATTTTTTTTTTTTAGAATAAGTCTTACGTATTTAAGGATCTCAAAAGTAAAAGAAAAAAGAAAAAAACAATCTCACTCAACTCTGTGAACAACTCTCAAATTTAATTGTATTTGCATTTATTAAAAGTTAGCATTTGAAAATACTCCCATAGAAATTTATTGTTATGAAATCAATATTTTTTCCTAACTAGCCATTCTTGTACAATTTTTCCTCAAGGTCTGTTGGCATCCAAAGCTGTTGGGGTGGATGGTGCTGAAAAAAAAGAAGGCTGCAGTGCAACAGCTCCAGTCCTGGAGCAGGTATGAAATGGTAGCATTTGATTGTTTCAAGGTCCCACTGGAAGGTCACTCATGGAGCTGTAGTACCACGTGATTGCAGTTGCCCTCTGATCAGTATGGGGATAGAGCACTGACTCATTGATGAGACACTTTTAACTCTGCCTTCTCCCAAGTATGCACATAAGCTATGGACTGTATTAGCTTATGTTCTCCATAGACTGACATGAAAGCCATTGTCTCCACAATTAGAAGGCCTGGAGACAGGCATCCCAGGGTATGAGCTTCCAGCTGGACACCTTTAGCTTTCAAAAAGACCCTTACACAAATACTTTTCATTTGTGGATTTAAACAGGGTTTTTTGACATCCAATTAAGCTTCTTTTATAAGAAGTTTCTTTTATATTGTAACAGTTGGTGTTCTTAGACTGTGTTTTACGAATTGATCAATGAGCCATACATTTTTGCTAGGATGTATATTTTAATAACTACAATAAAAAAGAGAATTTAAAAATCTTTTAAGGGTCTGTCTTAAACCACCTAATAGAGAAATTTAAAACTGCAGGTTGCAGTTGCTAGAACTGGCCTTGGCTCCCTTCAAGTTCCCACAGTACCTGTACATAATGAGCTGTGCATGCGTTTCCATCCTCTAAGGGCTTAACTGCTTAGGCACTGGATGAATACAGTAATAGCCATAACTGGATTTCTTTGGTTCTGTTTTAAAATCTGAGCCTTAATGTAGTTTCAATATATCCTTTTTGTATTATCTTAATTTTCTTTATTAGTAGCCTAGTAAGACTTTAAAATGAGTACCTTTTACTCTTCTCTCTATGTGTTTTAAAGGATAGCCCAAATTTAATTGATATTGTATTGAGTTTTTCAGTGTTTATTCTGGCCTGATTTGAAAGCAGTACATTGTTTTGGTACCTCCATTAATGCTGTATTAAATGAATGGTCTTTTAAATTGAGATCAATATGTCAGTGACTCATACCTTCTGGTTTTCAGTGAGCATCAAACGGTTAAGTCTTTGCCGTTTTTGTCAGTATATCAACCAAATTTTAAATAACTTTTTTACTGTGTATGATTATATTCAGTGTCCCAGATATAACAATATTTTGTACTCATACAACTGTTACAATATACTCAGAATGCGATATATCAGGGACTTGGGTAATAAAATATTTCTGGAAAATTCATTACAATGTCAATCGTTCATTACATATAATCTGTGAGGTAAATGTGATTGTGAAAAGTACTTATTATATGTGAAGTTAGTTTAGACTTCAATAACCAGTTCAGAAAAACAGTTTTTAGAAGAAAGGAAGATAAAGCAACTCGGCTTATTTGTATTTGCATAATTCAAAACTTTTCAGAGTTCTTGCCAGTTTTCTAACAGAGGCCAGTAATCATTAAGTGAATCTTTGTAAATGTTTTAGAGTTTAAGGAACATCATGCTGTTCCCTATTTTATTTTGTCATTCAAGTTGACTTCAATGTGAAAATGTTTTGTAACCAAACTCTTAAAATTTTTATGGTATTTGTTAGCCTTGCTTCTAAGCTAAAAAGCCGAGTTATAAAGCTCTTAACTATCTCAGTTGGTATTAGCAAGAGACCTAAATGAGAAATTTGATTGTTGCTAACTTCTGTTATCCTAAGGAGTTACAATGCCAGTTATGACAGACTGATAACAGGCCTACAGCCACAATTTGATGTACTGATGAATTTTTATTACTCAAAGATTCAGACTGTGGTCTTGAACCCCATTATCAGATTATTAGTTACAGATTATTTAATTGTATTAGGGAAATGTCATGTTATATTTACTTTTGGATAAAACTTGCATTTGATGCATAATAATTCACTAAGGTTAAAATATGTTAATTTATCCTTGTTTAGAAGTTAAGCACCTTATCAAGTTATTAATTTAAGTTTTAAAATCTTGTTTTATAACTTTGTAACTCAAGAGTAATGGATGCTGTAGCGATGTCTCTCACATATGTGAAGATGAACAATAAAATTGTTTATTTACAAGTAATGGCTCTAATTACTTTCCTGGCAACACCTTTTATGATAAGCTTAGGAATACTTTCTAGTCTTGGAGTTCTTTTTCAAATGATAGTTCTTCTTGCACACATATATAGTGAAAATTCAAGAGTAGAAAATGAAAGTTGAATGAATGGGACACTTGTCACACCGTCTTTTATGTTAGATGCCTAGCATGCCATCTATAGAACATTCAGTATAGAAGCCATATTTAATATTAAATATATAATTCTCACCACCAAAGTCTGAGTACCTTTAATTTTAATGGGAATAGAATTATCTATTTGGTCCCCAGACAGTGATCTATGATATCCTAGAAAACTGAAGATTATAAATTTGATGAACATTCCCCTTCCCCAAATATGTAGAAGCTAAATGATTTCTTGGGGACAGGCATGTTATTCATAGGACTAGCAACTTTACTCTTTATAGTGGCTTGCCATAATACCAGTTTTTCAAAGTCTGTATTTCATTCATAGTTTGCTGTTAGATACTAGCAAGAAAATCAGAGTAGGAATACCAGTATGACAGAATGTGGATCCAATGTGGCTGCTTTCTGTTGTCTTTAAGAATAGATACATTCATACATATTTTTACATGTGCAGGGAATTTTACTGCCACATGATTAAATGTTCTTTATGAAAGAACTGACAAAGTTCTAATTTTTTTCAAAAGTATCAGTTGGCAGGAATAAGGTAAAAACTCTTATCTAAGACTGCGACGTATTTTGTTTTTAAATCCAATGTTTTAACTTACATTTTATCTCTTTTCTGTTGTTGTAGTTGTTGCTTGTTCTGTATTGTTTTTTAGTCTTTTAACTCTCTACTGCTGGGGGCTCTGATTTCATGATGCATTTTGCTTATGAAACTAGCTTTCAGCACTAAAAGGAGTTAAAGATAATGTTTTGTTAATTTGGTCATTGTTTTCCTGTTGAGACTGTTCTTTAAAGGGAAACTGTCTGCTGAGACAGCCACACACTTGATGACAGATTATAAAACTCCCTTCTAAAAGGCAGGAGTCTAAATGTGTTCTTCAGCACTCTAAAATATAAAATACTTTTGTTCATTTACCTATCTGTTTTAATACCGTTGACAATTACAGTTTCAGAAGAGAGAAGTTTCAAATTAATAGTGAAATGTGTGTCCAATAGAGTATTTAATATTGGGAGAATTTTGTGGGCATTAAAAACATGGACTCATAGTTGACAGTATCCCTTTAAAGACAGCCTATTCAACTTTTAGTTAATAATTTGTGGGGTTCTTTTTGGTTTTTCATTTGTAATAGAAATGTTATGTGTTGCTTAACAATGTTTTTGGATACTAAAGTTGCTTAACAATCAAAAATAGAATACAAGAAGAAAATTGAAGAAACCAAAATAAAAATATCAATTTTTTATTATTTATTCAGGCGATTTCACCTAAACCTCAAAGTCAGAAAAAAAATGAAGCTGTCATTAGCAGTTCTGCCAACACTCAGAAACCTGCACTGTTATCCTCAACTTTGTCTTCAGGGAAGGCTCGCAGCAAGAAATGCAAACATGAATCTGGAGAGTCTTCTGGGTGTATAAAAACCCCTAAGTCACCACTTGCCCCAGAATTAATACAAGCCAAGGATTTGACGCTTGTATCTCAGCTTTCTTCAGTGATAAATAAAACTAGTGAGCACAGACTTTACAAATAGTTACTTATCCTGTAAGATAGAGTCAAAACAGTTTTGTTGTAGTTATCTTGTTTTTTATAAAGTTGCTTTTTAAAAACTCAAAAGTGGATATGACAGAGAAAGCTTAAAACTTTCAAGAGTAGATCATGGACAGTTCTACTGCTTTACTGCTCCAAGTCTGTACTGCTCCTTAAGAAGTCCTGCCATCGAGTGACACAAATTCCACTGTAGTTTCACGCTCCTCAACTAATAAGAAAAGGCCTGATTCATTACAAAAAAACAAACAAACAAAAAACCCCTGAAAACAAAAAGAACTGTAAAAAGAACCTTAGTCCATGTTTTCATGTGACTCCTCACTCCCCCTGTGACCCCTCACTCCCCCTGTGACCAGGTAGGAGGTGTCTCCTCTACCTGGAGACCTCTGAGTACACATTTATTCTTGTTGACAAGGCAGCCTTGAATCTACTCTCGCCCTTATTGAAAGGGGAATGCCTCCTTGTTATAACATTTAACCGCTAAAGTACTAATCTTTCAAGTGTTAGTCTTTTGAAAAATCTTTTTTTTTTTTCCTACCCGGAATTTGCTAGCTAAAAGATAAGGCTTGTGCTTATATAACCAAGTTTCCCATAAATGTGGAGCAGCTATGGGAAGAGTCACTAGTTAGATGACACTTGCATTTTGCTCCTTTACTCAACAAGTAAGTCAGTGTTGTTATCAGGAAATAAGGATAACACATTTCCTTGTGAAGCATTCTGTATTGCATCTTTCAGAATAATGGTACTGGTATTTGGAAGGCTTCATCAAACATACCTGTTTTTCATTCAGTTCTCACATTTATCACTAAAGAACATACCCCAAATTTTGATCAGTCTTTATTTTTTGAATAAGCAGAAACAAATGGAATCGAAAATTCTTTTCTCTGAAACTTCATTATGAAAGATTGTCAGTAGTAGTCACTAGATTATCACATGACAGAAATAAACATTATTTTTAAGTTGTTTTATATATTGATATAACCACAGTATCATAAAAGTTACAATTATCCTTTGGTTTTCCCCATTATTTCATGCCTTTTTGTTTTTCATTATTTTTCATTGTCAGTTATCCTTAAATACTTTAAACATCAGCTTCCTTAAACTACTTCTTTCTAAATTAGTAATATATTATCTTGTACAGTCCTACCTAATATACAATTCAGCAGGTTCCTAGTCCGAAAAGAACTCTCAAACACTGAAGGATTATCGAAACATTTGTTAACATCACTAAAAGTCAAATAGATGTTACAATTAGCTGTACAAACAAACTAAGGGCAAAAATAGTGTCACAACTAAATAATAACTAATTTGGCCATAATAAGCATATTGGTTTGTTTGTGTTGAATTTTTTGAATGAATCAGGCCCCAGATTTATATTTGTAAAAATCCATGTGGGAGTATGAGGATAGGATAGGTTTTTTACAGTAGCTCACCTGGGGAAGGAAAGCAAAGCAGCAGCTGTATAATGTGTGTAAGAGCCCCATGCCCCTGGTTTCCTTTCCCTTTAGAGTGCCAGTGTTTGCTATGTAGCAAGAGTTTTTCTCCTGGCTTCCTCCTTTCCCTTCTCCCTCCACCTTCCTCCCCTACTTTTTGCTTATATAGAGACTACTTTCTTGGAGGCAAAATGGCAGTTGACACAAGAATCCACAATTAGAAAGCTAACTCCAGTCTCACACTTGGGGAGAGCTACTTGAAATTACCTTTCCATGTTACTGTCATTGAGTTCTAGTTGTTTTAGATTTTAGAAGTTTTGATTAACTCTTTTTGTGATGAGGGAACATATTTATTTATTTATTTATTTATTTATTTTGCCTTTTAATGCCTCTGGAACATGCCATTTCTTGTGGTTATCTAATAGCAGCAGCAGAGAGCAGAATGTGGCTCATTTTTTTTTCTTGCTTATCATCTCCTTAAAAATTATAAGATGATCCTGGTATGTTTCTGCTTCGTGAACATTGAAGATCTTTTTCTAGGTTCTCCACAGCCTGTGAATCCCCCTAGACCTTGCAAGCATAGTGAGAGAAGAAGAAGATCTCAGCGGTTAGCCACCTTACCCATGCCTGATGATTCTCTAGAAAAGCTTTCTTCTTCCTCTTCAGCAACTGATGGCAAAATATTCTCCATCAGTTCTCAGAATCAGCAAGAGTCTTCAATACCAGAGGGTAATGTATATCGATTTCCTATAGAACCAAATAACTAACAACAATTATTTGAATATTTTTGCTTTTATGTCTCTTCACTTATAAGCACTTTGTATATGCTACAGATAACCTATCTGGTGCCTTCTTTTTGCCAGGCACTGTATAAATACCAGTGATCTGCACTGATATGAACTGAACCAGTTTCTCTGTATTAATATTATGGTTTTCTTTTCTTTTTAATTTTACATAGTGCCTGCTATTGCATATGTGCCACTCCAGAAGCTAGGACCCTGCCTTCCTCTTGATTTAAGTTGTGGTTCAGAAGTCACAGGAAGTCGAGCCCCAGATTCATCATATCCTGGTGGTGAATGTACCAGGGAAGAAAAGGAGGAAACATCATTGTTTGCAAATCCTGCCTCCAAAGTAGTGAGTGATATAAAAGGAGCTGCAGCAACCACAGGTAAGGGAGCTCTTGGTTAAGTCTAGCATAAACAGTTTGATAGTCAGCTTCACTTAAATTCATATAAAACCCCTCTTCTAAGAACTTTTAGGTAGTTATTGTGTTTGGATTGAATTTTTCTGTTTTAAAATTCTTTTGTGTGACCATTGTCAGCATTCTCTGGACATATTTCTTGTCATTTTTTTCTTCCTTCATTCTTTTTCTACATTCTTTTGCTTTCTAAAGAAAATTTATGGATTTGTTCACTTTATTGCCAATATCAGCCCCCCGGTGGGGTCCGGGTACCCCTAACACAAATCTCCCCCCCCCATTCCTCTCTCCCCTTCTCTAAGAAGGGCAAGCCCCCTCTGGGTACATGCTTGCGTGCATGCACATGCACACAAATACTCTCTCTCTCTCTCTCTCTCACACACACACACACACACACACTAGCTTATCAAGTCATGTGATTAAAGACATATACCATCATGCCTGACTTCTTTTGCTTTTTGAATGTATGTGTAAAATGTGGTATTGCTGCACCTGGAGCTAGCAAATCCTAGCTACTCAGCTGGGTCAACCTAGCAAGATTTAGGCCAACTAGGGCTACATAGCAAGATCCTGTCTCAAAACAAGAAATAAGTTATATGAAATATAGTTTTTGCTACTAGAAATTATTAAAGTTAAATACAGTTCCAGAAATTCTTATACTTGAAGCAAGAAGATATACTATGTAAAAATACATGATTTTTTCAGAAGTCAAATAGTATGTTTCAGTTATCTTCTTTCTAGTAAATTACTAATTTGGAATTGGCTAGTGAGAGATTTAAGCAAAGTTAGATTAGGAGACAAATGTAAAGTAGCCAAATGTATTGGCAATAATCATGTTTAATAACATCTTCCCCAAAGATTGTGGCATTGCTTCTTAGATGAAACCAAAATATAGCTTACTGTGTTCTGTCCATGCTACCCACTGAAAAAATGACAGCTGTAGCTTAACTTAATTTGTGTCTTTAACTTGTTCTTCCTTTCAAAGTAGCTTGCATATAAAGTACTTGTACATATAATTATTTATAATTCCATTTTACCTGTTTTTATTTATTTATTTATTTATTTATTTATTTATTTATTTTACACTCTAGATTTTATCCCCTCCACCCCCGTCTGCCCTCCGACTATTCCACAGCCCTTACCTCCAACCCACCCCCCTATCTCCATGAGGCTACCCCACCCCCACCTCTAAAATCCCTGGAGCCTCCAGTCTCTTGAGGGATAGGTGCATCATCTCTGATTGAACACAGACCAAGCATTCCTCTGCTGTATATGTATTGGAGGCCTCATATTATCAGGTATATGCTGCCTTTTTTGGTGGTCCAGTGTTTGAGAGAGAGAGATCTTGAGAGTCCAGATTAGTTGAGACTTGGTCCTCCTACAGGGTTGCCCTCCTTCTCAGCATCTTTCAGCCTTTCCCTAATTCAACCACAGGGGTCAGCAGCTTCTGTCCATTGGTTGGGTGCAAATATCTGCATCTCACTCTTTCAGCTGCTTGTTGGGTCTTCTGGAGGGCAGTCATGATAAGCCCCTTTTTGTGAGTGCTCCACAGCCTCAGTAATAGTGTCAGGCCTTAGAGACCTCCGCTTGAGCTGGATCCCACTTTGGCCCTGTGTCTGGACTTTCTTTTCCTCAGGCTCCTCTTCATTTCCATCTCTGCAGTTCTTTCAGACAGGAATTCTTTTTTCCCTCTCCCTACTGTCTGTCATTTCATCTGAGGTCCCTCCCTTTGAGTACTGAGAGTCTCTTACCTCCCCAGGTTGCCTGTTTCCAATTCTTTCTGCTGGCCCTCAGGGCTTCAGTCCTTTTCCCTCAACAAATACCAGATCAGGGTCCCCTCTCCCCTAACCCCCATCCACTTTCCTTCCCAAGAGGTCTCTCCCTCCCTCCCAACTTGTAAATGGTTTGTTTCTTCTCCCTCCCAGTGGGACTGAGGCATCCTCACTATATTAGCCAAAAAACAAAACAAAGCAAACAAACAAAAAAAGTACAGAATACCCAAGATACAGTCTACAGAACTCAAAAAGGTCAATTAGAATCCTTTTCAAAAGAAACCTTTCCTGACCTGGGTCTGAGGGTGTCTTTTTCCTGTCTTAAGTTTTGCCGTTAAGGTGAAGTGCTGCTTAGAGTGTTGAGATACAGAATCTACACTCAGGAAGCTCAGCATCTAGAAGGAAATCAGGCTAGTAGCTGAGCTAGACATATAAATGAAAGTTAATTACTGTAAGATGTAAAGTCCTCAAGAGGAATAAAGTAGGACAAGGAGAGATGGCTTTGCTTCCTACACCTGGGAACCTGAGTTCTAGGCCCCTGCTCTACGTAGTGGAAGAAGAGAACTGTTTCCATCCAGTAAGTTGTCCTCTGACTTCCACAAGTGCACTATGGCACACAAACAGCACCATACACTAGACAGACATATAGATGATAGATAGATAGATAGATAGATAGATAGATAGATAGATAGATAGAGGCCTCAGGCAGAGGAAGAGGTGTGTTCTTAGCTAGGATAGCAGAAACCTTCTGCTTGCCCTCTGTTCTCACTTTTTTTTCAGCAAAGTTTAAATGAGCTACTTCCTTCACACGTTTCTAATGGGAACTTTATAGTAGGTAATGTCTGTGACTATTTCCAGCTCTAAAGTGTTAATTATTGATTTGTTTATTGTATCATTCATCATGTAATTTATGAAGTCAAAAAATTTTCAAATAGTTTTAAAATGCTGATTATTCTTAGTAGCCTCCACTAGGACAAAATTGGAATGAGTTGGATTTAGTATATTATAGGAATATAATTCTCAACATTTTTAGTTAGTCCTATGTTGGAAGACTCATCATAATATATTTTTATTTTTTGTTTTTTTTTTAAGCAAATTAGTATGAAAATATCAAGTAATATTTGTTTTATTGTAGAACATTTTAGTTAATATGGATACAAGTATTAGATTGATAAGCATATGAACACTATCTTTATAATATCAGAATGTACATTAGTAGGGCATTCAATTTTTGGTAACTTTAGCTTAGTTTTCAATGAAATTAGTTGTGATTTCATAAATTTTTAAGGCAATTTTTAATGAAATGTAGAAATAGTAAACAGGCAAGTGCTTTTATCACTGTTAAGAAAGTAGGACTTAGGACTCCAGTGGATCCTCTGTAATGAGTCCAGGGGTTACTTTGTCTGCTTAATATCTCGTTATCACCAAGGAAGCCAGAGATAGGTTTTAGGCTACTCTTTTTTCTTTTTTTTTTTTTTTTTTTTTTGGTTTTTCGAGACAGGGTTTCTCTGTGTAGCCCTGACTGTTCTGGAACTTACTCTGTAGACCAGGCTGGCCTCGAACTCAGAAATCCACCTGCCTCTGCCTCCCAAGTGCTGGGATTAAAGGCGTGCGCCACCACCGCCCCGCTAGGCTACTCTTAATGAAGACTTCAGTAAGTCTATAAGTCTATCTGCTCTGACTGTGGCCACCTTTTAGATGGCATTCCTTTCTATCCCAATATTTGATGTTGACTCTATAGTCACTGTTTACCATCCTTTTAAAGTTTCTTCTGAATGTAGTTTACATAGCTATTCAAAACAAAGCTGTAACTGTGTTTTCTGTAATTACTTCAACCCCCCCAACACATACACACACACACACATCACATGAGCTGGGCTTTCTGTAATCTCTAGGATTGTGTCTTGTAGCACTCTGGAGAACTTACTCTTCACTCTACAGTTGTGGGTAGGAGAGTAATCAGGATTTTACTTTTCTTGTTGAAGTCCAGGTAGCCTGTTGATTTTGTTCTTTATTACAATGGCTCTAAGAGTTTATTTGAAGAAAATGTCCTCTTGAGAAAGTTTAAAGATCACTGTCTTTTATACTAATATCCTAATATTTAGGAAATTGCAGCACATGGTGAACTATTAACAATCATATGTTTTAAACCCAATTGTATTTTTAGGTTGAACTAGAGTTCAACCTAAAAATAAAGGGTCTGTTTTGGTTTTTATTTGTATGTACTTCTAAAAAGTTCACTAGTGTTAGAGAACTGTGTGTTCATTTTAATGTGCTTTCTTGTATAAAATGTTAGCAACCCCTTGTCAGGTTCCCAGTTTTGCTTTAAAAGTTGACCGACCATCTGTGAAGTCTTGTTCAGGAAGCCAGCACACTCTGGAGCTTGCTTTCCTAGAACCACTTAGAATGGATGTTTGTTCTGCTGTGCCATACCTGGTCTGCAGTGGTGGCCCGCAGCCATTATTATCTTTGTATCACCTACCAGAACTTCCTGAACATAGGCAGTTCGATGAGTTTTTTTGACACCCTCCCTTTACCGTAAGTAGTCCCTAGTCCTAGATATCTTTCATCTAGATCCAGCCCTCTAGATTAGGAGCATAAGAGATAGAGACATTGTTAACTTCTCTCTTGCATGCTGTACTGCCAGTAAGGCCTAAGCAGCTCTTTCCCTTTGTTTGATTTGTAAATACTTTCTTAATTTTAAGAAAACCACATTGCATTTACAATTTCCATGGTCCAGTAGTCAGCAGAAGGAAGGAATTAATGTGTTCATTGTCTTGATAAGTGGGAAATACTACTGTGTTTGTCTTTGCTGTGATGTCTTCTTTTTCTGTCACAATCAGTATGATTATCAACATTCTTATTAATCTGAAACTTCGTAGAGCCCTTGTTGCTCTTAAATAGAGGGATATTCTTTATAGTTTTATGTTTAAACTATATAAAGTATTTGAATAAAATATAAAATATTTGACATGATTGGTATAAATTGATTCTTTTACTAGATTAACCTGAGCTATAAACAAGATATTGAGAAATGTTGAGCAGAATTGGGAAGCTTTGTTAAGGGAATCTGTTATTTTAGTTATAGTTAGTGAAGTGTGATATTTACAAATGTAATTTGGATTACTAGGTAATACATGTCATTAATATGGTATATTTTATGTGTATGTGTACCTTTGCATTTCACATTCATGTAGTCCAAAAGTGATTAGAAAAATCATTGTTTTGGTCCTTTTTGTTACCTAGCAATTTGAGATTTATGCAATGATATACATGTCCCAGAATTCACGTGTATAACTTTATTTTAGGAAATAAGAGGTCAAATATCAGCTTCTATATGTTATTAAAATAACAGTTATATGTTATTAAAAACTAATATTCTTTACCATGAATTTGAGTATTTCATTTGGATGCTCTGAAGAATAGTTGTGACCAGGTTGTCGCAGAAGAAGCAGTAGTATGTAGGCCAACCATTCAAAAGACTGTCAATGCCTTCAGAGTTGCTTAAGGTTGGGATGTTGCATCAGCCTTCATCGATGGCCAGCGACCTTTATATAACTTCTTTTTCTGGTTAGAGCCCCATTTATGCTATTTTTGAAATAATGTCACCTCAAAATACCCCCCAGATACAAAGTAAAATAACACACTTACCAAGCACTGACCAAAGCATTTACATAGATTTCATATAATCTTAAAAGAACAATGGTAGGTATTCTTGCTCTTATCGACAATAAGGAAGCAAAAGTACAGAGGCATTAAACCACATACTCAGGTCATACAAGTAACAAATTGAGGAGGCCAAGAATTCCACCCAGGTGTTATGAAGAAGCACCAGTATTCCTTGAATAAGTTTTTATTTGTAGTTCAGGTAATAAAATTGTACAAGAGGAGAATTCCTATTTAGAGTTTTGGAAACAATTGTAATTTTAAAAACTGTACAATAATTTTATTGTTCTGCCTAAACTTACTTCTTATCCCCCTAACCCACAGGAATATCGAAAACAGAAAAAAAAGTGAAATTGGAAGAAAAAACCTCCACTGCATTTGGTATGGACAGAAAGTAATCTTTAAGCAAAAGACTAGAAAGCTTGACAGAGAGGACAGCATCTGTGTCTTCCCTTCCCTGCTAGGGCTCCTTAAGGTGCCTGAGGTCATCTGCTTCTATGATTAGCAGTTAGTCAGCTTCCTATGCACCAGGTCTCCAGAGCATAGCTTGTACTTTGTGTATTCTCTTGAGAGTCTCTGTTTCTCTGAGTTCTTTGCTTCTCAACGTCTCCGGTTAAAATAGCCTCCATCTAAGATTTTTGAGACTTAAGAGTAATTAAATATAAATAAGAGTATTAAAATAGTTATTCTTTTCATAACATTCTTCAGTATGCCTTATTAAAAGGATACTGACTTTTTCACTGTCTTTTCTACCTAATGTTGAGTAAAGACTAAAAGTAATGAAATAATGGGTAATAAGTATTATTTAGGTTTGCTAGTTGGCATCACTGAAAATTGGCTACATATACTTGGAAAACTGTGGGCTAACTCATTCTGAGCTGGAAAAGTAGCTTGTAGAATATCTGTTCAGTTTTAATTTGTGATACAGTGTTCAAATATACTATTCAAGCATGTATTTATCTTCTTTAAAGTACATATGATTAAAGAAAAGAATGCTTTTTGGAAAGAATAGAATAAAATCGTTTTCTTTCTTATTTTCATTCATGTATGCACAGGGGAGATATTTAAATATGGAAGGAGTTATGTATAGATTAATTTGATTAATTTTGTTTCTCTTTTCTAAAGATAAAATGCCATCCATCTTACTTAAATTTTCTAAAACATTAATAAATTATATATAGAAATGCTGATTCTCCATAATGAGGTCTTTTTAAATTATGGAATTTAACTTCTTGGCACATAGTAGGAATTTTAGACTATTACGCATTTAAAGATTTTAACTACTGTCTGTGTTAACTTTAAGGTGTCAGGAATTGGGATTTTTCAACACTGCTAATGAAGATCCCCTCTTATAGTCCAATAAGCTAAGCAAGAGTTCCAGACTCATGACACGAACAGTTTAATTGAATCCGTCCACTCTGGGCAGGTGACTGGAATCACTGATGAAAACATAAATGCTGCTTTGAGGGTAACCACAAAGGAGCAACTTAGAGTCACTCACAATTATTGAAGTATTTGCTTTTATTTATTTTAGGTAAAAAAAAAGAAAAGGATAAGGAGAGAAAAGAGAAGCGAGACAAAGATCACTACAAACCAAAGCAGAAGAAAAAGAAGAAAAAGAAAAAGAAATCTAAACAGCATGGTAAGTTTGCTAAGATATGTTTTCTAGTATTTTGAGATTGTTTAACTCTTGTTTTTCTCACCAAAGTAGAGGTATAATAACATCAGCATGCTGTTGAAAACTGAGACATTCCTGAAACTTTTCTTTGTCTTGGCATTTCAAAAACGTACAGCTCTGTAAAATAAGTTGCAATGACTAGAAACTTTTATCTCCAACATATGGTGAAGTAAGTACTATGACTACAAATCCTTTAATATGATGGAGATCCCCCCCCCCCGACACCTTGTATTTATATATATGCACATGGCCTTTTTCTTTTCTTTCTGAGGTATGTGTGCCTGTGTGTGTATGTACATATGTATAGTCATGTACACATATGTTCACTGCTCTGTCCATGCATGTGTAGAATGCAGAGGTCAACATGGTGTCTTCGTCTGTAGTTCTGTTTTTTTTTTTTTTTTTTTTTTTTGCAACAGCATCCTTTACTGAAATTGAAACCAAAGTTTATCATTTATCCCAAACTAGCTGTCCAAGTATCCTCTGGGATCTTCTTGTCACTGCTCCCCAGCACTGGATTTGCAGATTTACTCTATGATTTTATATGCTTGATATGCAAACACTATATCAACTGAGAATTCTACAAAGCCAAAATAAAGGAGTAATTCTAAACCCAAAATTGTAATGTCCTTTAAATTCACTTTGCAGGATAATAGAAAAAGATGGTTTTTAGAAGAACCAGCAGAATTTGGTACCAGTGAATAAAGGAAACCCCAGATGCACTAAAAGCATAAGAAAAATGCTGACATAAGGAAGTGTAAGATGCAGAAGATAGCATGAACACACTGTAGATGTGTGATCAATCTAAACACTGATCTTACAAAACAGCCTGTATAATAAGAAAGCAAAGTAATAGAAACTACAATATATAATACTAGCTTTTATAGAGCGGTAAATACTTACAGTTCATTACTTTGACTTCCTTTTATGATTACTTATAGGTCCTAAGAAGTTTAGTTTGCATGTATAGACTTCAAAGCCAGGAATGGTGGCTCACACCAGTATTCCCAGAACTCAAGAGGCTGAGGCAGGAGGATTTACACAAGTTTGAAGTCAGTCTGGGCTAATAGTAAGTTCTAGAACAATGAGAGCTATGGTGTAAGGCCCTGTCTGTGAAAAAAATGAAATAAAAATATGTTATAGTAATACCAAAGAATAGTAAAATAGAATATAAGTTCTTAAGTAGGAGTGGAAAAAATATAAATGTAAATGAACCATCTACATCAAATTGAACCGAAAATTAGAAAAGAATAAAGTATAAATAAGGTGTTAGAAATAAATACATCATTAGTTATACTTTATACCTCAAAGAATGAATGGCAGGACTGAGGTGACAGCTCATTTCGTATACTTCTTGCAAGTACAAAGACCTAAGGTTGTTCCCCGAGCACACACAAGTATGGTAGGACACACTTGTAATCCCAGCATTGAGGAACACATAGGAGAATCTCTGGGGCTTCCTAACCAGTCACCCATTCTAACTAAATTGTTGAGTTCTAGGAAAGACCTGTCTCAAAGGAAGTAAATAGTATCCTGAAAATGCCTCTCAGGGTAGTCCACTGGCCTCCCCATGCATGTATACATGTCTGCACCCAGATACACAGCTACACACATTCATTTATAAATGAATAGGTAGCATCTGTTGGTCAACTTTCCTTTATTATGATAAGATCCTGAAAGTACTTTCACCTTAAAGGAGAGAAGGTTTGTTTTAGCTCACAGTTTCAGAGGTCTGTTGCACGGCTACATTGCTTTGTAGCCTGTGGTGAGATAGAACCCTATGGCAAAGAATATATAGTGCCAATTGCTCAGCTTGTGTCAGGCAGCCAAGAAGAAAGGAGAAGAAAAGATGTTGATGATAATATATATCCTTCAAGAATATACCTCAAAGACCTGCCTCTTCCAGTAGGCCACTGGTAGTGCGTTTTAAGTGATAAAGTTCTCAGTGGCTTCATCCATTGGTACAGTTAGTGCTTTCATGATCCAATTACCTTTCAAAGGCCCACCTCTGAGATTCTGAATGCTGGTACGTTGGAAAGGAAGCCTTTAATGTGTGCATTTGTAAAGGAGATCTAAGATGCAACTATGACTAATTTATTTTTAAAATTGAATTATTTAGTACATATAAGTTATATATGTAAACATAAGAATAGGTAGTAAGGAGAAATGTTGAAAATAAAAACATAAAACAGAAAAAGCTGACAAGCAAATACCAGAAAAGTTAGGGTAGATAAATGAATAACAAAATATTCATAAGGCTCGAAGTCTATTACCATGTATTGATAGAAGTATGGTCCACTTTATAGTTATAAAGTTTAGACATAAGTTTCAGAATGTTCTCAAATAATAATATTACTATATTTCTTGATAATAAGAAAAGCAAACATTCTGTCAGATTTTGTGGCACACATCTGTAGCATTTGGGAGACAGTAACAGTGGGATCACTCACTGCAAGTTACAGAACAACTTTATCTACATGGAAAGTTCCAGGCCAACCACAGTTACATAGCAAGACCTTCTCTCAGTCACTACCACCACTGCCCCTGCCCCACTGAAACAAAGTAATACAGAACAGAAACATACCCTATAGGACTACGAGGTAGCCTTTTACTATATTACAGCTGATAAAATAGACCCAAACATAGCACCAAACTCAATAGTTACTGAATGAAGGTCTTGTCATAAGCACTAGACAAATTCTTTAGATTCCAGCTCTCTCTGCAACTCTAATTTTTCTAGAGAATTTGACATTTTCATATTCTCTAACTCTAAAGTCCGCAGAGTAAATTTGATGATTCTGAATCAAAGTGGGGCTGGCAAGCTTAAAACCACTTCCTGGGGAATCTTGAACACCGTAAGCATTCTGTGTCCACCTTGTTCCTCATCCCCATTCCATACTGTTCTGGTCCTTTCATGAACAACACTGTAGGATACAAAACTGAGATAACCTCAGCTTAGGAATAAATGGAGCCATGTAAATAAATACCTCTAACCAGGGCCGATAACACTGTCCTCTGAGTGAGAAATGTGTATCAACCTACTAACACAACTGCTAGATGGGTGAACTGCCTCAGTGCCCAGGGCAGTGACAACAGCTGGTTATGTATGCCTCCGATGCCTTGTCAGGGCACTGATGTGCTCCACCATTCAGTACCCAGACAGAAAACCCAGGAGAGTGGAGACAGGGATAACTAGGGCAAAGCCAGGAACAGGCAGGATTTGTGAGCAGGAGCAAGGGACACCTGAAAGGAGGAAGGGTATTCAGAATTAGCAGAGGAAAATCTGCCCTTAGATTGGAGATCAGGCTAATAACCTTTTATTAAGGACCATATTTAAAATAACAAATTAATATATGAATCTATCTCCTGAAATAAAGATATGCCCCCCTCTTTTATACTAATTTATGTGTACATTAAAATGTGTGTGGAGGTCAGAGGACACCTTGCAGGACTCAGTTCTCTTTTCATCTTTTGGGTTCCAGGAATCAAACTCAGGTCATCAGGTTTGGCTGTGAGCATATTGATTTACTCACTGAACTCTCTCTGGCTCATATATTTATATATTTTAACAAAAAGGCCTTCTTTTGTTTACATTTTAAAGTCCGGCCTATAAGTGGCCTTTGTCCAAATAGCTGTGGCAAATACTGAGGATACGTGGAAGCCTTGCTATTTATAAGTAAGAGTTGTTAAGTCTCTTCATCTCCAGCATCTTCAATATTATTACACTAGAGGAAAGTTATCCTGGATTGTTTGCATTCATCTTAGAAGAGATGATCTCACAGATAATTAATTAGAATGGACTTCAAACAGGCAATAAGAGATTTCAAATGGCTGACATTTTAAAGACAGTTAATGCTGAGCAGTTCACATTATTGCTGTGTAAGTCTTATTCTAAACTGTTTGTACCTAGTATTAACACAGTGGGAGAAATTAATTTTTATTTGTCACTCAATAATATTTTATATATCCTGCTTATATTTTTTGTATACCAAACAGAATCTGAGGATTTCATATATATGAATTTATTTTGTTAATCCTTTGAAGTGCAGTCTGATAGCTGTGTTTTATAGCTAATATAGCAGAAGGAAATTTGTTTAACTCATAGCTACCAGGTAGTGAAAATCAGATTCAAGCCTGCACAGTTGGCTTCGGATTCAGTTTTGTATTTTTCTTCCTTTACCCTAAAGATTGCTTCAGACTTTATTCTTGCCTTGAGTAATTTTCTCTTGTCTCTGTTGGTATTCTGAAATGTCCAGCTTACCTGTTTGTATAAATGCCATTAGGAAAGTGTCATTTATGTAAGTAGTTCTTTATAACCCCCATGCAGTAGTGGGTAAAACTATGTTTGAATTATCAGAACTAATTTTCCAGATAGAAAACTGGCATTGTCTTCACCTTGTGGGTAGTAAGTTGCCATTTTGGAATTTGTGAGTGACATTTTATCAGGTTTTAGCTTTGTTCCTTTGTGGAGGTCTCTTCCGTGTACCTGTTACTGTGAGACCAAAGGCCTCAGAGATCAATTGGAAGTAGAGCTGTAAATGCAGAAAACCCATGGCTATAATGGACACAGTTTTCTTCAGTGAGCTTGCATGCAGGCATTGGTGTATCTAAGTGATAGGACACACATATCAATGTCTACCTGGAAGGCCTGGTATTTATATAGGTGTTTTATGAAATCTGTCGCAAAGCTGGGAAGGATAATAATGGTACCCTCACTTGACCCTTGTAACATAAGAGACTTTTTTCCTAATAGCCAGAGGCGATTAAAGTGGAAATGTAGGTGAGATAAAATGCCAAGTCATTGTATATATTTGCTAATACAGAATAGACCAATTAAATGTCAACTATGTTCATTTTCTAAACATAGCTGTGCTTTCTTTCACTCCTATATGATTAGCCTATTTCATTTCCTTTTGCTTAGAAAGAAGTCACTATAGGTTATCGGTTTCATTTCCTGGACATAACATTTACAACTGAATAACCTTTGGCAGATCATTTATATTTTATATGTCTCAGTCTCTTCTCCTGTAGAGTGGTTACAGCAGTTTCTATTGCTCCTGAGCAGCATCAAGGTTAATTAAGGTTATTATTATGCAGTGCTAAAGATATCTAGTGTAATAATCATCATTTCCATCCTTGCCTATATAATAATGTAGTATTATGCAGATGTGAAGCCGTGTTATGCAGAGATTGCTCCATTATGTGGCAGCAGCAGGATGACATGGCAGTGTTCCCACTTCCTATGTACGGGATGGTGGACAGAAACCTGGGCTTTAACAGACATTCCAGTTTCTACAGACTTCAAATTCTAGTCCTCTTACAGGTTGCTGGTTAAGAGTGAAGTTCCTGGAATCATGCTACTAGGACATCTGGATATGAATATTGTTTTTACCAGTAACATTGGGCTGTTTAAGAACTGTGTACTTAATGTCTTCTGCCATGATTCCTTGGTTCATAAAATAGCATTAGCAGCCAAACTGTATTCACTGTAGTTCTGAGAGTACTGAGAGTTAGCATACAGAACTTAATTAAACTGTCTTCTTGGCAGTCTTTAATTGGTTTCAAGTTAGTGGTACTCTAGGTTGTATGGTGATCATTGTGTAAGTTCTCAGAGACACCTACTAAATACTAGTTGTTTACAAAACAACTTCAAATTCTGGTGGTCAGGAGTCCAGAATAGTTCTCTAAGCTAAAGCTATGATTTCTTTCTAGAGGCATCAGCAAATAGTTCATAGTCTATGTTCCTTCCTTTTCTGGCTTCAGAAGCTATCATGAGTCTTGTCTCCAGTTTTCTCATTTTCAATGGAGTGTTAGCCAGCCAATTCTTGCCTGGATTGATTCTGTTACCTTTTTCATTTGAAGTAGGCCCATAGGATTCCACTGGGCCCACAGTGATAGCCTGTAGCATATTCCCTGCTTTACAGCCAGCCTGAAGCTTAATTTAACCTGCAATGTGAATTCTCCTCCACCATGAAACTTAATCATTTACAGGAGCCAGGGACTAGGTCATAAACATACATGAAGGACTGAACTTAATACTGGTCATACTGTCATGATTGTGCTCCTATAAACATCCTCCCCCCCACCCCCCAGTTACATACTCTCTGGCCTACTTGGTGGATGCCTTTAACTCATGCTCAGTTGAGACAATAGACATAGGAGGTGAAACCTGCTTTCTGTCCACATGGATGCACTTCACTGAACATGTCCATCTTCTCCTCTGTCCCTGCTAAAATGAAAGGAATGTCCTTCCCTATTGAAATTCTGAAATTTCTCAGCACTAGAAGCAGATAGATGGTGTCTATTTAGTTTTCTCCATCTAAAATAAAATCCCTTTTCTAACTATCTATTTCTTCTCTTATGTCTTCTCCTAGCCCTATCACAGACTCACTTTCAGCATTTGATCCATCAAATAGAAAAACCATCCTGATGCCTTCCACCACTGCTATCAGCTTCCCGTCTTTTTTACTACATGCTTCTCAGCTTCTTCTCAGCTGTCACCTTGCTAGTCAGTCACTGGCATATGTGTGTATACCACAACTATGGCCTGTGACCCATCCTCTCTTCTCCTCATCTATCTTCTACTTCCTGCTTTGTCCTACTACTGGAATGAACTTGCAGAAATGAAATGGATCTATGCCTCATCTCATTTCCCTTTAAAACTTGTGAATGGCTGTTGGTAATATTACAATAAAGCCTAAAAATTAAACAGTGCTAAAACTCCCTTTTACCCTGTTGCTGCTGCTCTCAGGGCAGCCTGTCCTACTTATTTCTCACACTGTGCTCCAGCAGTCATGAGCTTGCCAAGTGTGCTCTGTTATTTTGGCTCCAGAGCCTACCTCCCACCTATGTTCTTCTCCCTCTATTCCCACACCCCTCCCTCAGTAAGCTGTATGACTTTTCCTTGCTTGTGCCTGTATGACTTACCCCTGGCTGAGAACAGCAGGCCTTTGACACACCAGTTTATTTCCTTCGGAAGTTTATCTTAGGTGTGCATGTGTAAGATTAATTGATAAAATGATCACTATAGTTATGCTAGAGAGAAGTAGGTAAGAGTAGGAGAACCTCTTACCTTAGTTGAAAGAAATAGGCTAATTCCCCCTTCCCTACCTTGCTGCAGACATAGCTGTGAATATGATGGAGGAAAATGTACAAATGATCCTTTACCATTTTTTCATTATAAGAGTGTACTGGTACCAGTTAGCTCCTGGTAGTCCCATGTGTCTACACTATATGGGCTTACTTACTGATTTTGCTTGTTCTTGTCAACACATTTATCAGTTGGCTGGTCACAGATGGCAAATGAAGTGGTTGTGTGATGGTTTTGTATATCTTCATGACTTGTGATAACTCTTGGTTTTTTGAGACTTTAGTAATGTGCTTTTCTGTTTCTTCTGTTTCAGACTATTCGGACTATGAAGACAGTTCCCTGGACTTTTTGGAAAGGTGTTCTTCTCCACTTACTAGATCTTCTGGAAGTTCTCTGGCTCCACGAAGCACATTTACAGAGAAAACTACAACTTCTCAGTACCCGAGGGCAATTCTCTCTGTTGATCTTAGTGGTGAAAGTATGTGTGACTGTATGATAGTTTTAAAATAAGACCTGAGATTCTCAGTGTGAAACTTTCTGCATGCCTTCTGAATGCAATAGATGCTATATGTACCACATTATATTTTCTTTGTTCTGTTACTACCTAATTTTTTCTAGGCCTAAGTTGTCTGCTAAGGGCAAAGAAAATTTTCTTCTCTTTACTGTTAAAAATAGGCAACATGTGATTTTGATATCTTAATTTTCAAAAGTTTGAGGTAGGGGAAAGGATTAAGAAAAAGTCCCTCTCTTCCATCTATTCTCTTTACCAACAGGTGCAGTTTTAGTTTTTGGTTGGTTGGTTGGTTGGTTGGTTGGTTGGTTGGATTTTTTTTCCATTTGGTCCAGTCATTTGTAATCCTTGCTTTGGTGCCTTTAAAATATTACAGTCTTGAATCCAACCACAGAGCAGAGAGGTATATAACATTTATGGGTGTATCCTGTCAAGATAGAGCAGCAGCTTGGTGGTTCTTGGAAACTTATATTTTGGCTATCTCCAGAGCCATCAGGGCCTGCAGGTGGCTTTTGTTTGAGGCTGCTGTAGGCATGGAATGGAGCTGGAGTGATAACACCTGAGAGAGTAGGTGCTCACAGGCCTGTACCCTATTGCTCTTTGTCTATTGTCCTGTGCTTGGAAAATGAAAGAGGCAGAGGCTCTCAAACATAAGCGTACAACACAGCCACCTGTAGAACTTGTTAAACACATTTTAGAGCCTTGCCTTCAGAGTTTCTACTGACAGATTTCCTGGTGATGCCAGCCAGCATTGGAGATCTGGAAGCTCTCTTAAGAACTCTGTTCTAGGATATAGCAGTGACAGCTGAGGGGTAGAAGTTTAAAGGGAACAAATATTATAAAGCTGCTCAGAATCATTGTCCTGTGGCTTCTCCTGTATTTGTATAAGACGAACATTGATTGTGTATGTTACACAACTTCCAGCCCAGTGACCACGTTGTTTGTCTGACAAATTGAGCCAAACTTGTGTTTTATACTTGTGAGTCAGTTATTTAAACAAAAATTTCTGGGTGACTTACTAAAATATGTATGCCAGTACCATGAAACCTGATATTTGGACCATGTATGTTTATGTTAATTGCATGCTACTTTCCTTTAGTTTAAAATCTGTTCTTACATTATTATTGCCATTCATTTATTGTCTTGCTTTGTAGCCCAGAATGACCTCAAACAATTGATCATCTGTCGTTAGCCCCCAAATGCTGGGTTTAGAGGTGTGAGCAACCACGACTAGCTAAGCAGTTGATATTTAATTGCCTTTATCATGCCCTAGTTGCACAAATCAACTATGTCATATGTATGTAAGTGCCTAGTATAATGCTTGGTATATGTAGTGCAATTGTAGCTGATTAAAAGGGTATTACTATATACTACAAGTAATAAAACTCATTGTTTCATGACCAAAAAGGACTAATATTTAGCAACATTCAATGAAATGTTTGCAAACTGTATAGAAACTAATAAGTTTCATTGTTAGTCTTAGCCAAAAAATGGTGGCTACTCAGTATTACTTTCAGCAGTGTATGTGAACTACAAAAAATTTAAATGTTTTTGTTTGTTTGTTGTTTAGTTTTGTTCTAGAGGTAGGCACTCAATTTGCATGTGTTTGCTCTGCTGAAACGCTTATACTCACTTCCTAAAGCCCCTTCCTGATAAATGACATAGTCGAAGTGGTGTGCACTTTTATGTGTTCCAGACTTGTCAGATGTGGAATTCCTGGATGACTCTTCCACAGAGAGCCTGCTTCTGAGTGGGGATGAGTACAACCAAGACTTTGATTCAACTAATTTTGAGGAGTCTCAGGATGAAGATGATGCCCTTAATGAGATTGTACGGTGTATCTGTGAACTGGATGAGGAGAATGGCTTCATGATCCAGGTACTTGAGCAGCCTCTGCCCTACAGTTCTGGATCACTGTGAGTGTTGAGCAGGTGGACCAGAGAGCTTTTCCTTTTCGTTAGCCATCCCTCAAAGGTAGTTTCTAACATATTGCCATGCTTTCATTTCTAGCAGTACTGGTTAGGAAATCTCTGCATTGAATCAAGTAGACACTTGGCTTGTGAGTATTACTGTTCACTTTAGGTTATCTGTAACAGATTTAGGCCTTCTTGCTGAAATGTTTAAAGACCCTGAAGGTGGGTCTTCCTCCACAGTGTAGAGTTTGGCTACAGCATGGTTTTTACTGACAGTCAATAATCAGAAATTTATATGTATCCTTTGGGGATTGGAAATCAAACCCAAATGTCCCGAATTCCCAAAAGAAGAAAGAGAACTTTGTTGCAAGAGTTAGCAACTTCTGCTTATAAGAAGGGTTTCTCTAAGAAACCAAGGAAGCATGGCCTGCAGTTGTGTTGATTATGTAGAAAAATTAGGAGACATTGGTTACAAGATTAAATAAAGAAAGTAACCACCCTTTTTCTTTGTTAGTGGTGTCTCAGATAAAGGTGCTGTGAATTTAGAGCTTTACCCCATGACTGTTTAAGTGTCCTTGCACAGACATTTTACAAATTTGCTTCAGTAAGTGGTTTTTTTATGATTTATTAAAGCATATTTTAATAGATGTGGTATAAAGAAGTTCTTTAAATAGTTGAATATTTCATTGATAAAATTCATCTTAAATATGACTTTTTCTTGTGGCACATAGGACTTGAATTGGCAGGACAGGAGGGCAGGCCAGCTAGTTAAAAGGTGACAATGTGAGTCCTTGCCTTGCCTTGCCTATCCTGGTCTGCGGGTGCCGATTCTGCCAGCACTATGGGTCTCTTCTGTTCTCTGCAGTGTGAAGAGTGCCTATGCTGGCAGCACAGTGTGTGCATGGGGCTCCTGGAGGACAGCATTCCGGAGCAGTACATCTGCTACATCTGTCGGGACCCTCCGGGTGAGGCCCTCCGCCCCGTGTGGGTTGTGTGACGCGGACTCCAGAGTTTGGCCACTGTGTAGAGCACCTGCACTTCTTGGTTAGCTAGACTCCTCTGCCATAACGTGGGTTGAAGATACTTTTTGACTGTTACAGCATGACTTTCATAGTAATCACCTGCACAAGCACATTTTGTAGACATATTTACATACCACCTTACCAAAAGGGAGATTATGACTTCTCCTGAAGCTAGCTTTTGCCTACTCCTGGGTATTGTTTTCTAGCTAGGATTATTTATGCTGATTTGAATGGGCCAGTATTCATTGCCTGCTAACCATCTGATTAGTTTTGAAAAGTTTACCCAATTTATTGCAGAGTAAATGGGATTCCACAACCTTACTTACACCTTTTATTTCCCTGATGAAGCAGCTAGACGTGGGAAGTCATATATTTGTGCCTGAAGAGGTACCACTGAGTGGTATACTGAGATGAAAAACTTTTTTGACTCTCAATCCATTGTACTTGCTTTGTCATGCCTACTTCTATGCTAAGTAACACATTCTGCATGTAGAATATATTTTCAGCTATCAATGCAGAGAATTACTAGTTATTAGGCAGATGAACTGTTCTCATGCTCACTGAAAGGATAAAGGAAAAAAAATTTAAGAAGCAAGATAGGGGGCTGGTGAGATTGATTAGCAGTTAAGAGCACTAGCTAGCTACTCTTCTAGAGGTCCTGAGTTCAATTCCCAGCAACCACATGATAGCTCATGACCATCTGTAAAGGGACCTGATGCCATCTTCTGGCATCTAGGAGTGCATACAAATAGAGCAGTCATACATTTAAACATAAATAATTAATTAAGGGGGTAGGGAAATGGTTTAGTCCATAAAGTGCTTCCCATAAGCAGGAGGATGTGTTGTGATCTCTAGTATCCGTGTAAAAATCTGGGCATAACTATAATCCCAGTAGTGTAGAAGTAGAGATATAAGGTATCCCTGGGCTTTGTTGGAACCCCAGTCTAGCCAAATCAGTGAGTTCCAGATTCCATGAAAGATCCTGTCTCAAAAGCTGAAGTAAAAAGTGGTAAAGAAGCGTAACTTCTGGCCTCATATGTGCAAACAAAGAACCAAGAGATTATTCAGAGCTATATGAATATAAATGTTTTTATTGTTTCTGCTTATAGTATAGATATTTGCTATTTATTGTATGTTTCAATAACAAATATAGACTTTCACTTTTTATTCAGTTACATTTATTGGATACCTTCTATCTGTAAACACTGTGGAGAGATGACTGATTCAAATTATTCATCCACCTCGTAGTTAAACAGACACAGGAGCATCTAATTGTAAGAGGATCCAGTATGTATTAGCATCAAGCTCTAGAATGTTGTAGGATTTTGTGAGATCATTGTCATGAAGGCAGGATCCCTACTTGTTCAACTGTAGCTTTGTTTTTTTCTGGGTATGAGCAGAACGTGAAAGAAAGACCTATGGTTCCTGCCAGCCATCTTGGAGGAAAGATAGTTGGTAGATAACAATTGAAAATAGTGTATCAGGGTTCCCTTGGCAGGGTGTCACCTGCCACTGACCCCTCAGTGACATTCCTTCTCCTCAGATGCTGGCAGAGCAGAAGTGCTGAGGGGCTCTTGTCATCTCACCCTTCCTCAGCATACCATCTGAGTTTGGAGTCTACTTTTACTGGTAGACATTGTCTTATTCACTGAGAAGCGTTAGTGGGAACGAGGATCTGGATCAATAGAATCCTTTATGACTTCAATGTCAACTTCATCTGCAGGTCAGAGATGGAGTGCAAAATATCGTTATGATAAGGAATGGTTGAATAATGGAAGAATGTATGGGTTATCTTTTTTAAAAGAAAATTATTCTCATCTCAATGCCAAAAAAATAGTTTCCACACATCATCTTCTTGCTGATGTCTATGGTGTAACTGAAGTACTGCATGGATTACAGCTTAAGATTGGAATACTAAAGTAAGTGAACTGAGCCACGTACTGCCTTGCACATTTTAAAAATTATTTATGTGTATCAATATTTTGACTGTGTTTATGTATGTGCACCACATGGTGCCTGCAGAGGCAAGATGAGGGTTAATTCTTAAGAACTGGAGTTAAGCACAATTATAAGCCACCGTGCGGGTGTTGAGAACTGAACCCAGGTGTTCCGCAAGAGCAGCAAGTGCTCTTAACCAGTGAGCCCTCTGCAGTCCCATTCTTACAAATTTGAATATAAATCTAAGAAATTAAAGCATAACATCAATTAACCACAAATGTAAAAAATAACTAAAAAACAAATGCAGGTAAGCTTTTAAAATTATTTTATTTGGGGGGAAGTTTAAGATAAAACTGTCTTTCTTTGCAGATTATATGATAGCTTATCAGGTAGTCTTTTGGAGGTTCACAGTAGCACTTCAGAAGACAGAATATTTAAAAGAAAATCTATAGTACGAAAAATGTTGTGCAGTGGTAGCACACACCTTTAACCTTAGCACTCAGGAGGCAGAGATAGATGCAGGTGGATCTCTGAGTTTGAAAACCAGCCTAATCTACACAGTGAATTCCTGGATAGACGGGCAGGACTATACAAAGAAGTCCTGTCTCGAGATGAGGGGAATAAGAATGAATAACCCTTTGGATGATGACAAGCTCTGTCTACCTGGTTCACATCCTACTATTTGAAAAAAAAAATTAGAGCTAATGTTTTGTGCACAAAGCTAACTGTAGCTGATACAGTGAGTCTGTTTTCAATCTCTGATCATAGCATGAGATGAATTCATTCTATGAGGGTGTATTCTTTAACTACCTTAAGATGTACTCAGAAAGGGTGAGGAGGCAGTAGATTCGGGATCACCTTTTCTGCTGTGCATCCTAACATTTTGTGCCTTCAGACAGTTCCTCCTTAAGGAAAGCCTAGCTCCTTCTAAGTAACATATCTGGATAGTTTTGAGGCCTTCTAATGCCAGACCATAGTTGTTTAAAGAATAAAGGAGAGAGCCTTTTGTTTTATATAATGTCCCAAGATTTGCCACATCTGCATTCTGAGGCCTTACATCCTTTCCTCTTTGTCCTCTTAAGTTTGGTGTACTTCTGATTTGCTCTTCTGCTTCCTCTCTTGTCTTAGCTAGGCAGCTTTACTTCGTGGGAAAAGTTTCTGTACCTTTTCATTTCTGTGGCTCCATTCTTCTTTTGTTTCATTCTTCACATTTAATAGCAGGATTCATATTAATGAAGCAGAACAATAGTCTCTTTCATGCTATAATAACTTCTTCTGCCCCTGACCAAATGCCTTGAATAATAGGAATTTTATTGACACACACTTCCCTTAGTATGTTGACCAACCATTCCAGCTATATCAAAGCCTAATCTCTAAATGAATTATGATTTCTTAGACATCCAGGTCTTTTAGTTTCCCTAGAAGATGCCTTTCTGTCATTTCCTGATGACTAGATTTGAGCCTGCTGTTTTTGGTACATTGTATGTGTACTGAAGCTATCATTATTTTTACCTAGACCTTGGGTCTTAAAGTTTTCCTGAATTGAGATTCAGGTGTGTGTCACTAGGCCCAGCTATAGGCATAGGTTTTCAAAGGGTTATGCCACCTGTCCTCAAACAGCATGGCAAGATTCATTCCACTAGACTGTGGAGCCAAAAAACTAGTTTTTTTTTTTTTTTCTAGTATGCCTTCTACTATTGAGAATTTAAAGTGACTATTTTCTAGATATTAAATTGCTAGGAGTTTAAAAGACAAAGGGTTATAAACTAAGAAATTATAAATGGGTATTACTAGAAGAAAGCTAATTTGAATCTCATTTAGAAATTATTAATTTAAGCCAACTTTAAAGCCTGTAGGTCAGTGGTTCTCAACCTTTAGGTTGCAACCTTTTAGGAGGTCTAACTACCCTTTCACAGGGGTTGGGTAAGACCACTAGAAAACACAGATACTCGCATTGTAATTCATAACGGTAGCAAAGTTACAGTTATGAAGTAGTACTAAAAGTAATTTTATGGATTGGGTCCCCACAACATGAAGAACTGTATTGAAGGTTCTTCATTAGCAAGGTTGAAAACCACCACTTTAGGAGGAGTCATACCTTCTGAGAAACCTTGCACTTAATTCTGAGTAGAGCCCTGCTTTGCTTATTGCAGAATGTATTGTGCTACAAACTTCACTACTCGTGATCTAATTCTTATTTAAAATGGAGCACCCTAAGTGAGCATAGACCATAGTTGTGAGTATAAATAGTGAACCTTCTTTGGAGGCCAATTGTACAGCAGCTAAAATAAAAATATATTCTATTCTGCAGTTCTTTATCTGGAAAGTGATCTGACTGTAGTATTCTAACATGTGCAGTGACACACATCTATTGATAGAGAGCTGATGGGATGTACTAAACTGGCAATTAATACCATTTAACCATTAAAGTCTAAATAAAGAGTATCTGTGTGTACTGGTGTGGCAAGATGCCCAGCGTGTGCTGCTTAGGAAAAAGGAAAAGTAAGGTGAGGCCTGCTTGTATAAAAAGAAAAAGAAATATACCCCTCTTTAAAAACCAACAGCAAAAAGATTTAATTGTCCTTATTTTATGTTTATGTGTGAGCACCCATGTGTATGTATGTACACCCAAGTGTGTGCCAGAAGAGGGCACTAAGTTAGTCCCCTGAAACTGAGTTCCAGGCAGTTGTGAGCCACCTGATGTGGTGCTGAAAATCAAACCGGATGGCGAGAACAGAAAATGCTCTTAGCTGCTCAGCCATCTGTCCAGCCCCATATTTTCTTATTTTTTATAATTTTGTATGTATAGAAAAGTCTGTACGATCATATGTCATTTACAATTGCTACAGTGGAATAGACTTATTTTTTATGGGTTCAGTTGTAATTTTTTTTCTCATGAATAGGGATGGCTTTTTTGATTTTGATTAAAGGTTATAAAATATGTTCACATAAAAGTTATATATCATGCAGTGACAACAAAAATTCTACAAAGAAATGTATATATCAGTGTCATTAATAATCAACAAAATTGAGTTCATTGTTGATTTTCTGAGTATTGTATCATTAAAACTGAGAGGACTTGGATTTTGGATAAAATGTTAGAGGAGTCAACTTAAAGGACAACTTTGTCTTTGATCCTGACCCCTTCTTCACATGGTTGCCAAATTTACTACAATTTTTAGCTTGTTACCATTCTTTTCATGACGTGCTGTTTCTCCATTTTTGTTTTAAGGAATAAACATCATCCTGACCTTCATCTCTGGGCTTATTCTGGGAAGGGGAAAGACCAAAATCAGGTAGTAGCTGGAGCAGAGAAAAAAGTAACACTTCAGGACACAGCTAACTCAGAGGGAAAGAAATATGTACAGAACCATAAAGAACCACCCCTGAAAATGGAAGAAACTTACATAACAAGCGAACACAGCTATCAAAAGCCACAAAGCTTTAGTCAGGACTGCCAGTCTCTCACTGACCCTGGAAGCTCAGATGATGATGATGCTAGCAGTTTTGAAGAAGATGGGGAACTCCATGTGCCAGATAAAAGCCATCTTCTGTACTCAGTAAACGATCGTGGAGTGTCAGAGAAGGTAATGGTTCTCATAAAGCAAGAGAAGAAGCTGATGGAATTAAGCACACCTAGTCCTCGGGCTTTTCTAGTATGTAAATACCTGCTTAAAGATTTTTTTTCCTTTCTCCACCACAAAATATTATCTGTGTAAACACTGAGTTGTTATAATCCATTCAACTGCTACCCTAAAGTTTTCAGTTCCTAAGCATACTTAGATATCTTTAGAAATTAATGGACCATATTGTGTATAAAAAGGAAAATGAATTTGTGTGGGATCATTCAAGTGTATATGGAGTCATAATTTGTCTTCCTTTAATGTGTTTTGGACAGAGGATCACACTAAAGCATCTGTGTCCACATATCAATCCCATTGTGCAGTAACTGTGGAAACATGTCTCCTGTTTGTCAGGGTTAACATTGAGATTAAAAGGAGCCCTCAAGTTTTATTGGTTTTTCACTAGCAAGTCCACTTTTAAATTAGTTATTTGTTATTCTGTCTTTTGTAAATGTCAAGTAATCATCACCAGAAGTTGATAACTGATCTTGGAAAGTTTATATTTTATGAAACTTACGGTAAATTATTTTGACAAATTAATATCCTATGAAATTAGCTACCTTTGGCAAATCTAAATCGATATTTTATATGCATATGTCCTGTATTCTCAAGTTTTTTCAAAGATTCTTACCTTCTGTTATCTCATCAGTGTAACCACAACAGTAAAGGCCAGTTTGCCATTAGCTGAACTTTTAAACCAATCTTTGACAGTTAAGTTGATTTTTTTCCAATAATTATTTTGCCCTCACTCCATTTGTGTCACCAGTTAAAATTAACTGAAAAATAAAATGGTCCACATCACTTAGTCACTCCAATTATGGAATGGAATTTTTATTTACTTAGCACATTTTACTGGAACCTTCTTCTCTGGGTTACACTCTAGAAGGCATGGAAAATGGATATAGGGACACCTTTATTCTAGAAAGAATACCAGATGGAATTTGATGGTGTATAAGATCTTTCTCTAAAGATTTTCTCATAGTCAGATTGGCTTTTGCCTATCTAAGAAGTGTAATAGATTTTTCTGTATCCTTCTCATTTTGAAGTAGCATTTCATCTAGTTCTCTGTGTTTTGTTTTCTTCTGTTTTGTTCTACTTTTCCCACTGGACCTTTGGAGAAGAATCCAGCTTCAGGGAATAAAGTGTTTGTTTATAATGATAAAAAGGGCACGGAGGGCCCAGGAGACTCGCATCTTCAGTGGCAGCTAAATCTCCTCACACATATAGAAAATGTGCAGAATGAAGTCACCAGCAGGATGGACCTCATAGAAAAAGAAGTGGACGGTAATGTAGCCAAGAGCTCAGGTGTAGCTGCTGTCGTGTGTTTAGTGTTATGAAGAAGCTCTTTAACTAAGTTGTAGGATGCAAACTACAGATACCACCTGGCTGCCTAGCTCTGTCTCTTTCTTTACACTGTATTTAGCATATTCAGGTTGTTGTAGGCTCAATACAGGATAGCTGGATATTATCCTTAGTAGTGACTTCTTGTCTGTTTTGTTTTATTCTTAACATGGATATTTATTAAATACTGCCTATATGCCTCATTCAATATAGAATATTTGTGAAGTGTTTGCTAGTTTCATTAAAGAATATTTTCTATGAAGTCAGTATATTCAATTTCACGTTAGCTAATATTTGTTGAGTAGAATTAACTTCTACAAGTTAATCAAGTAAACCTTAAATTTACATATAAATTTTCAAATAGATTTTACTCACGTTTTTGTAAATTTTATCATCACATAGAAAAAAAAAGTAGGCAGAAAAATGCCCCCTTTTTATATTTGAGAAACTGGAATAAATTGAATTCCTGGATTCTCAATCTCATATGCTTCTTTTGCGCTGACTATTTTGTCCTGATCTCAAAGATCATAGCCTGCCTCCAGCCTTTAGTCCTCTATCTGTAAATTTTACATTGTACTAAGTTGATATATACTGTATTTCTGCTTTTTCCTCTCTTAAGAGAGGTGGTAGATACCTATTTCAGAAGCATCTTGCATCTGTTTTTAATTTGATTAAATAGAGTTAGTTTCTCTTATATAGATTTTGAAGAAATGAAAATGTATCTTAATAACTACATATTTTTAATAGATTCTTAAAGGAAACAATTAGAAGTGAGCATATAATTGATTAATTGAATTCTGCATAAAATTTGAGTATACTTGAGGGGGGGTCATATTTCAATAAAGTGTAATCCTGGAAAGGGTTCTGAGAAACCTCTCCCTTTTCCTTTGTTAATGCGGAAGATGTGACCTGGGGAGATGGCTCAATGTGAAAGTACTTACTTTGCCAATATGGGCACCTAAGTCCAGATTCATAAAAGCCATGCAAATAAAAGCCAGGCGTGATCGTATGCACTTGGAATCCCAGCAATGATGAGGTGGGAAAGTGGAGGCATGTTAATTCCTGGTACTGTGTGGCCAGCCAGCCTAGCTACTTCGCAGCATTCCTGGCCAATGAAAGACCTGATCTCCAACAGATGATAGATGGTGTCTAAGAAACATCGCCCAGTTTGTCTTCTGACCATCACATGCACACACAATCATTCTCCTGCACACATACATGTACACATGAACACAAGGAGAAGATGAAATGAAAACTATTATCTAAATTAGTAGAAAGTTTGAGCAGGCCTAAGGAACTTTTAGTTCTGTTTCAGAAAAAAATGAAGGAGACATACTAGTGAAATATGTGGATGTATATATATGCATATTATATACGTTGGGGGAAGATGTTCTGAATGAAGTGTGTGTGTGTGTGTGTGTATGTGTGTGTGTGTGTGTGTGTGCGCGCGCGCGCATACACATGTAGGATACTGGAGAATGAGGCTGGACATGTAGTTCAGTGTTTAAACACCTGCTCTGGGTTCAATCCCCAGTATTTCTCGGGGAAAAGTGCCTGAGATAGCAGGTGAACTTTTCCCAGAAGGATTAGAACTGTTGTGAGTGGAGTGACTTAGTGCATTGGCCTTCTGTAAAGAGGGAAGTGAACTCTCATTTCAGTCACCATTCCATCCTTCTAATAGATTGTCTTCTGGCTGTTCTCAATACCATTTAAACTTTTTCCCCTCTTTCTTCTAGTTCTGGAAAGTTGGCTTGATTTCACAGGGGAGTTGGAGCCACCAGATCCCCTTGCAAGACTGCCCCAACTTAAACGCCACATAAAACAACTCTTACTTGACGTGGGCAAAGTACAACAAATTGCAACTCTTTGCTCTGTATAACAGCGGTAAATACTTGGTGACAAGAATATGTCTTTCTTCAGTTGAATCACTTTTACTGCTAGGTGGATAGTCCAAAAGCTTAATGTTTGGTCATTTATTGATTTGTGACATCATTAGTATGGCATCTTGGAAAGAAAATGAAGAACTATTTTATCAAGGAAGCTAACATTAAAAATGAGTGAACAAGCTGCAAATGATAATGTCATCTCTACCAAGAATCAGTGAGTATAAAGCAAGCTGCACTAAAGGAATGGAATTGACAAGATACTTATAGTTCCTTTCATGAAGCTCAAGTTACCTATAGACAGAATTATGATGTATTTATATAGGTTTTTTAGAAGAGAAATCCATGTTTATAAACCAGCATTTGGCCAAAACCACACTGTAAGGAAATTCAAGTTCTGGAGAGTTCTACAAGTTTGCTCTAAGAATTGCCTTCTAGCAGTTGGATACAGCTGCAAAGAAACTTAGATTATTTAAACTTTTGTAGGATCATGAATTATTTCTTGGGTGATGAATGTATTTTAATCAGAAAACTGACAATGGAAGTCTCACTTTGAGGAAAATAATTGTGGAATTCTAACTTCATTATGAATGTATTTTAAGAAACCCACCAAATAATTGGAATTTATTGCGGGCATTGTGCTCTTTAAAAGTAAAGTGGCTTGCAGAAGGGCCCAGTGTGCCAAATGTTAATACTGCTGGAGACAGGATTTGAATATTGCAGGAATCCTTCCACCCGCCATATGCAATGCCATTAACCCATACAAACCTGTACACCACATGCTGGGTGTGCTCTGTGTAGGTAAGTCGTGGTATCCAGACTTCAGCCTACATTTCATCCTGGATACACTTGGTGTTTGCCTTTTGAAAAAAACTATAAACCTCAGCTGGGATGAGGAGTGACAAAAATATGAAAATAATCTGTGGCTGTGGATTTTTTTTTTAACTGCTAGTAGTGGAATACTGGAAAAGCTTCATTTCTGAAGACAAATTTTATTTTAAAATATAAATATACACTCACAAATTTTAGCTTTGTTCACAAATGGACAGATTTATGAAACCAAAGGCAACTAAGTTGCTTACTCAGCTCTTGCTGGATTTTTGAGCCTAGGTCCTACTGTCTGCCAGTCCTGGTGTGAGTTGTATGCACGCCGCAGTGCTACATGTGCAGGTATGCATAAGTGAGTATGCTTGATTAAATAGTCGACATACATATGTACATAATCAACATATTTATATCACACATATCTAGTTTTATTACTATAGACTATACAAATTGGTGGCTAACATAAAATGTTACCTTTTAATAGACTGTTTTTAAAAACTAAAAGTGTATGTACAGGTTTTGAAATTTTTTTAAAAGAGGGAAGAAAAGACTGTTAAGAGGAGGCTATTTGATGACATTACACTTGAATATTTTTTGCCTCATTCTGTTTATCAGTTCTAGCAATCTGTATAAAGGCACTAAGAACTGATAGACAGGGAACTTGAATTTATCTTTGATAAGAATACATGCCACTGTACATTCAGATATTATTTAAATTTGCAAAACACACTGTTCTTTATGTAAGGTACTGTATGTAAAACTCTATTAAAGTTGTTCCACATACTCTAAAATTTCAGCTTGCCTTTTTGCGGCCTTATGTTTTGATGTGAGGATTAAAAGAATGTGCAAAACATTGAGGAATTTTTATTGCCTTTTGAGATTTTTCAACTGACAAATGTGCCAAAGATCATCATACATAAAATGTAGTCCTCTGTATTTACTTGTGATACCTAAACTTTGTCAAAGATCCTACTGATGAAAGCTTTAGCAGAAGTCATTGTGAGGTAGTTGCTTAAATTTGCATATTAAAGTAAAACTTAGTGCCTATAATAACCCATGTGTGGAGTAAATTTACTAATGTTTGTGTTTCAAGTTTGATACTATATTGTTGATTTGTGTTTAAAAATGATAGCTGTAAAATTTTCCATCATGACTGAACCCTAAATGTTGAATTTGCGTCTTCTCTTCAGAAATGTAGCCAATAATGTCCTTAGTCTGAAAATAGTGGTGTTGCCTTGGTTCTTATCATATATGCAGAAGAACTCTGCATTTACTGGTACTCAGCTTCTGAGTTCTGGTGACCTTGTTTAAAAGAATGCATAGTGTTGTAGTACAGACTAATAAGTGCTCCCACACAAAGTGTGAAATGTTCCACATGTGGAGTACCAACTGGACTCTGTAAGTGGAAAGTTCTATACCTTCGTGTAGCAGGGTAGCAGGATCACTGTCAAAATACAGGCTCACTAAAAAATGCAGTATACACATCTTCAAGATATGTGTTTAAATTGTATACAGAACAGCAGTGAAGTTCATGTTTAGACTTAAGTCTCATGCCAAGAATGTGTCATGATAAAATACAAAGACTCCAGCATCCAAGAAAACACCAAATCCAAAATATTTTTCTTTCCAAGCTTTTCTGATAATGAACACTAAACTTCTGTCTTAAAATTCAATCACTTTGTTAGCAGCTAGGAAATTGAGTACTTCACTGATATTATGTTAAATGTTCCACTCTGCTTATTTGTCAATGAATGGGGAAGCTAATACTTAAGGTCTTTAAAGAATATATCAGATTACGTGCACATACCCAGTTTCTATAGAACCAACCAACAATTGGCTAAGGCCCATTATCAGGCAGCACTTTTCTTTGAGAGAATGAATTAACTTTGGAGAAGCAAATACTTGGTGAGAAGTATCAGATAAGATTTGTTTTTCTGTTTAGTCTTACCTAAAATCATTGTATTGAAATCTAGCAATGAACTGGAAAGGGTATTTTCTTCAAAGATAGTGTTTCATTTGCCAGATGGACAAAAGAGAATGAGCTTCAGTGGAGGGATTCCTCCTCATCATTTCTGGCAAATAGAATTTGTACTTCTTTATGGTTGTCTATGGTTCCACTGACTGTTGAAGTAATGTATTTTCTCCTTAAAGGAACTTGTTATTCTTAGAATTTCAGGTAAATCACCTGTTCCTAAGTTGTTTCAACTCGATGTTCATACTAAAATGTATATACTTTACATGTTAAAACTGAAGCATACTACTTCCTCCCCAATAAACTGAATCTGCTGCCATTGTCACTGTCTTGGTTAATAGCATCCTATCAGTGTATGCTTTAACATACAGAGTCAGCACTTAATAGTCATTTCATCACTACATAAGTGTTTTCTCAAAGCAGTGATGATGTCTTCCTCAGGCCTGTTGGGAGCCCATTGTAAGTCATGGAAGTTGGATCAATTTTGCTTTCCTCTTTCATTCTAGCTTTGTTTTTATTCCGAGTCTTCAAATTGTCACTGCCAGACTAGAGAATTACACTTAATAAGTATCTGCTCCATGCTAGACATCACAAGGCTTCCTATGGTATATGAATTAGTTCTTTCAGAGGACAGGTAAGAATGATCATTTTCTAAATAAGCATGGTAAGATTTATGCATACGTTCCGTCCTAGCCTGGATAAGAAGTGAGTTTTCATGGTCTGTGCAGCTTGTGTTCCTTGGCTATTCTTGTCATTTCAGTTTTCTACTGTGAAATTCCAAGGGAATAATTCATACTCTGTTGTATCTGTGTGATATGGAATATGTCCAGGCTGACCTAGTTTGTTCTCACATTCATGGCAATAGAGCCTGACTGTTAGGATTGTGCTTATTTCTATCTCTGTCCTTCATATCACTTCTTTGTATGAAAGATCCTCACTTGTTTATGTCTCTGTAAATTCAGCCACTTTGTCTTGAGTATCTCATCCTAAACAAGAAGCAATTCATTGCCAAAGGCTCCTGTATAGCATCAAACTGGAGAGGAATTCTGCTACTGAGTAATAACTTGCTATACTGAAACAGACACAGATTTTGTAATCTCAAATTTCCTGGTAATTTACTAATAGTATGATACTCTAAGCTTTAATTTACTTGTTCGTAAATGACAACATATGTAACTTGGAACTTTGCTTTGAGAGTTAAATTATCAAGAAGAATATGACATGAATTGGAAATCACCCATCACTGAGTATCATCTATGTGCAGGCCATGAAATTAACATGATTAGAGTTGGATAGAGGATCAGATCATGCTCTCCAGGCTAATGGAACATTTTCTTGTGAGAACCTAACCAAAGAGACCAAATAAAGGAAGATAATTATACTTGAAGGTGGTAGAGCAGGGAGAATAGATGTATATTCATTGAAACAGTGTTCTCTTAAATTAGACTAGAATATCCAGAAGATTTTAAAACACTGAATTTCTAGTCTCTGTTCTCTCTAAAGTAGAGTCCAAGAAAAGACTTCTGAGTATACTTAGTTTATTAGAAAGAAAATCTAAGCAGTCAGTATCGGGAAGGAAGTGAGGGAATGGAAGAGGGGAGAAGAAAGCAAATAAGCAGAATTAAGGACACTGCTGTGAGCAATGGGGCTTTGATTCTGCCTTTTTAAATCCTAAATGCAGTGTGTAATTTCCAGGTTGTAAATATTGACATATCTAATCACATAGAACATTTTCAAATGCATGTGGTTGAATCCGATGCATCATGGTGGTGGTGTTGTTTGCCAACATTATTTTTTAAGGGACATAGAATTTTGAGGTAACATGACAAACTAGAAGCTGCCTACATGTGTCCTTATGAGTAAGTCAGAATAAGGAGAAATGGATGCTATCTGATAGAGAACCATGGAAATCCATGTAAATGATGATGAGCTAAAAGCATGTAGGAAAAGATGGGGAGTATGCTGGGAAATAAAACTAAGTATTCAGCAGCACAACTTCTTGGTACAGAGAAGCAGAAGTTTCATAAAAAAGGTAAGCCAGGTGGCACTAATGAAGAGATAGCCTATCCTAGGAGCAGTTTTCAACCCTTACAAGCTTTAAATCCAGTTGCAGAATTTGGTAAGATGATAAATGCTCTTGTAGTCAGATCAGCAGCCAAAAGGGATCTCATTCTATCATCCTGGGTGCCATCTTGAGAACTTGTTTAAAACTGAGCTATCTTGGGTATCTGAAAATGGGACAGTAACTGGTCAGCCTGAATTTAACTTGTAGCATCCCATAGGTAAAGAACAACCTTAGGAGGCCATTGTGGAGAGTGCTAGCAAGCTGAAAAGCATAGGTGTCAGAAAGATATGATCAGACAGTGAAAAATAGCCCTGCCTTTGATGGGGAGCAAGTAACCCCAGGGTTGATAATACTGAGTCTGAGATTATTGGAAATCAACTTCTGGAACCAACTACTTCCCTTCAGTGTTGAAGTCTTGAGAATTTTGAAGATCCAGAAGAGTCATGTCTGGATGACCAACTAGTTTGAAGGTGTCCAACTCAAGCCTTTGCCTCCTGTAAAGATCTTGCACAATACTTGTCATCCACATAAACTTTGCAATAGTTTGATCAGAACTTAGAGATTTAAAGTGCAAATACAGTCCTGAACCTATAGGAATTTATTGCAGTAGCTTCCCTCATACACAAATAAAGGAAGCTACTTAAGTAGGCATGGCTCTGTTAGACTTCAGATGGTTGTGAAGTGCAGACTGAACAACTTCGACTGGCCTTTCCTTGACTTGTGCATCAAACACGGTCTTAAATACTAGAGAAGTTAGAAACCACTCTAATAATTCATATTTTTTTCTTTTTGTCCCTTTTCCCACCCCGTTACTTACTTTGATCAGCATATACCTTATTGTCTTAAAAAGAAAAATTTGTATTTTTATCTCCTTTCATAAATTCTCCTAATTTTGTTGATGGACTGTTTCATTGTTGGCCAATCCACTGCCTTTTTCTTCTTTGCTCTGCCACTATCACCATTTTTATTTTACATTTATTATTTTGACTTCTCTTATTAAGAGAAGCTTTTCTGTAATTTTTATATGCCTCTTCTCACATTTATCTGTTTGGAGGCTTTGTTAATATTGGAAATTTTTATTTTATTTATTTTTTTTCTTTTCTAATTGTATTTATTCATATTTTATTCATTTTCCTCTTGCCTTTCTCATTTTTTTCTCCATAACAGTGTCATTTTTTTCTTCTTTTATTTGACATTCTTCCCTTTCCCTCTTTACATGCTTATTTTTAATACTGTTCATTTACTATTTCCACATTTATCTAGTTTTTTTCAACTTCATAGCACACCCTAAGTTTTGATATTTGATGATCATTTGTGATGCATGAATAGGCTTCAAGACTGAGCATATGGTTTGATAGTTATTTTAATAGTTTGCTTTTCTGAGCATTGCTATAGATTGAGCCCTCAAGAGGAACTTCTTAAAAGAAACCCTTCAAATAAAACTGAACAGATACCCGTAACAGCAAATGCACGAAGCATAACATGAAAACATGAAAAGATAGAGTAACCCAGCTCCAAAATGTCATGATTCTTCAACTACTAACTCAAATAGTAAATTGGGTAAAATGCTTGGTAAATATTTCCAAAGCTTGCTATTAAATGACTAATGGCCTTAAAATTATATAAATAAGGTTATTTGATCTAAAAGTCACCAACATAGAATGAAGAGGCAAACTGGCAAACTGGATGAATATGTGTATATATGTATGTTAAGATACTAAAGGAGAGAGAATCTCAGGGATGAAGATTCAAGGAAAGCACACTCACATCAATAAGGAAAAAAAAAAAAAAACAAACATTGCCACAAGATCTAAGAACTCTAGGAAATGATTAGTGGACCAAACTCCAGAATGTATATGGGATAAAAGAATTGAGATTTTAAAAGAATATATTTGATAAAATTATAGTTTAAAAATTTAGATATATAGAGTAACAAGTAGGCAACCAAATACAAGAAACATTTAGACTCCAACATGTCCAAAGGAAAAGCTCTCTAAAACATTATAATCAATATGACAAAAATACAACATAATATTTAAAGCCTTCTCCTTGAAGACTGCCTCTCACAGTTGAAGATGCAATGCAAGGTAACAAGAGAGGAAAATACTCAGTAGTCCTAACCAGCTGTGATGCTCAGGAATCAGAACAATGACCAGCACAGTAAGATATCTCTAAACATACAATAGTGACACTTAACATCTTGACATTAGCTAAAAACTGCATAATTGGACTTAAAGCCACTCAATAGAACAGAAATGCCTGCTACTTTAACCAACTATGTGATTAGTGAGAACATATATCTTCAAGAAGAATGTACCACAGTCACTTTCCTAAGCCTAGCTGCATTCTTAATTCTTATCCTTATACTGAAGGATAAATGTAGCTCTTCCCTCTCATTAAATAAACTTCTTTTTTTTTTTTTCAGCAGGGAGGCTATTACAGAAAGCAATAGGTCAGAATGCAGAGAATAACAAAATGTGGTGTCCAGCCATAGTTGGTAAATCTACAATACAACCCTACACTTAAGGCTCAGGGAACGTTGTGAAAGAGAACACAGAAAGACACAGGCAGAGGGCAGGAACTATGCTGCAAGATTATCTTCTGTTTATAATAGGAAAGCTACACCTATGAAATCTCAACACCGGTTGCCTAAACAAAACTGGAACACTGACAACACTACTTGTCCTCTAGACATAACATAGCTGTTCTACATGAACTGACAATAGCTGTATTTACCTACAAAACACCTGCATAACATGATCAAGTCAGTTAAAAATTCTAGAATGGATGAGGGAGAAGCTCCAAAGGCCAGGGAACTATTGGCAATTGATGACTACAGTAATTCTTGAAAAAGAACTACTTTTCTTCAGGAATTTGGCCACTGGTAGGTTCCCAATGGATGGCCCCTTGCCTCTCTTCATAGGGTTAGCACTCATTGGACTTGATGGGTTTTAAAAAAAAAGGGGACAAAGTTGGGAGGAAGATGTGATAGGAAGTCATGGGAGTAGTTGTAGGGGAGATTGATGATTGGGTATGATCAAGATACAGTGTATACATGTATCATATTTTCAGGGAATAATTTTAAAAATACATAGAAAATAGAATAATACATTTACCATATATAATACCCCAATTTCTGAATATAAAGAAAATAAAATCACAATTCCAAAGAAGCAACAAAAAGATCCAATTATCTGTTGTCCTCAAGACATACACCTCTTCACAGACACAGGAAAATTAATCCCACAATTCATAGGG